TCAAACTTTATATATGCGATGCGACGATAGCCTAAAACAAGCCTCCTAGGGTCGTCGTTGTGGCTGGATGTGGCTTTAACGTTGCAATCGGGCCAGAAAAGGTTGGTTGTGGTGGAATCCTGTAAAGGCTTCAATTAGTAGGCGGGAGGGTGGCTGGCTGGGCGTATCCACGTTTAATTTCCCAAATTCGCGATATCATACGGTAGTAGGCACAGGTACTGTACAGTACATACATCCATACAGCACAGTACCTAGTATATTGACTGTATTTCAGTCTAATTACAGTACAGTATCCGTACATCGTAGTGTAAGTGACTCAACAGCGACCAACCCAATGCTCTCGATGCCAATTTCAGCCTTGGCATGGCCTGTGTTATCTGGGACAATCCCGCTATCAACCTGATCTTTGTCTTTCTGGTAAACCGGGCTCTTCGCCTGACCTGCATTGAAACTGTGAGGCTGGGTTGCATTATAAGGCAGAATCGCGCCATCCGCCTTTCCCTCAGCTCTCAACTGCTCGCAAACAAACCGCCAAAGGAATCGCCTCGTACCATACAGTCTACCCAGTGTAACTGAACCCGTTACTGTCCTCTGTCGCGCAGACCCGACGCAAATCCAAAACCAGCATGACAGCTCCCGAGGTTTCTCACGGCCGCGGTGGTGCCGGTAACATCAACCCAGACGACACCAAATATGTTGACGGAGAGGTGGTTCGTGTAGGCGCAGAAGGCAGCCATGGAGACGGGGCTTTCAGCACTGGCCGTGGAGGTATGTATTACATCCAACTCTCATTCACGATTTCCATCACGATCTTCCAAACCAAGGAAAAAAACGCCAGAACCACATCTCACCTTGTCCCACTCTCATATTATCGGGAGGGCAAGGCAACGGGGCACCAGGAAAGTTAGTTAGCGTTATCGCAAGATGCGCCCACCTGAGCGCCAAACGAGAACCCCCACATTTACATGCCAAGGCCCGCAGCTTTCGCCGATAAGAGAGAGAACGAACAGGGGCTGGGCTGGGAAACCTTCATGAACGTCGCGGGCTGGGCTAACTCGGTAAAACCCTATAACTTTCAGGCACTGGCAACATTGGCGATGCCGGCAAAAAGCAGACGGTGCGTGCCGACAAGGACGTCATCCCCGAGGCGGCTGTCCGGCCCAGCCAGGACAATGCCGATTACCACACGGGCCGGGGCGGCGCGGGCAACGAGCACGTTGCGGCCAAGAAGCCGGCCGCCGCGGGGGAAGCTCCTATGGGGCTGGCTGACAAGCTCAAGAGGAAGGTTTATGGGATCTTCAACAAGAAGTAGAGTTGATTTCATTACTGGGGGGTGGCGAAATAGTTCTTGTCGGATAGGGGTGTGGAGGGTGTCTTTTGAGTCGTTTCGGATGCCTGAGGTTGATGCTTTCTGCTTTTCTGGTTTTTGCACTGATACCATCGGCATGAACCGCCAGTCATAATAGGTTCGTGTTAGGCAGTTATGAATGGTTAATGGGAGAGTGAGAGTTGTTCCGCCTGACCGTGTTTCAGAAATAATAATACAAAGCGGCAAAGAGTGAGTCGTTGTTATTCCGACGGTCAAAAGCTATAGTACCTGTTTTGATTCAGTCATCTAGCAGGGATCACACTTCGCACTCATTTCTCTTAGCGAGAATCATGTAATTCGGGTTTCAGTCCTTATTCAACTGACCGTCCCGCCATGTAAATAGATCTTAAGATAGTGAAGACAAACCAGGAAAATTAGACTCGCCTCAGCCCTCAGTAAGGGAGCTTTGATATGAAGTTACCTAATTGTGAACCCAGTCAGTTGCTTAGGTAGCCATCTCGGGACAACTGTCTGACCAGGCTTGGAATTTGTAAGTCGGATACAGTCAATAGTTTGAGAATAGGTATATGGACAGGGGTTGCCGATCGTTTGCCAATCACTTGTGTGAAATTGCCGGGTTTTGGTCGCAATTGGCATACACGTGTATCGTCATCCTTCAAGCAAGGGAGTGGACCATGTGAAACTGTGAAGCTTTATAAGATGCTAGTAAACCAGCTAGCGTATGATTTCCCAGTTTGGGTGACACGCCGGCCTGCTCGCCATCTGCTCTCAGATGACCAACACTCACCTCGGGCGTGATCGGTCGAAACGGCCTGCAGCTCCCAGTCGCTAAACCGCCACCAAGGCAGATCGGCCCTGCAGCACTGAAGTGCTTGATGGTTTCTGGATCAGAACTGCCTTCACGGTTTCTGCTTTCTGCAAGCCAAGTGTGTCTGTCTGGACCTACCTTAGGTAGTGTTGCAGGCTACATGTCAGAATGTCTGGAGGTTTCCAAAGGGAGAGAAAACTTCCGTGATAATGCAGTGAGTAACACAACCTAAGGTAGTGTGGTTAGAAAGAGAAACCAAGACTTTGTTTTGGGTGAGTAGGACGGGCGATGGTTGGCTTCCTCAGCGATCTGCGATCTACGAGCCGCCCCAGATTCTGCAAAACAAGCCCCCATCCATTCCGCTGGCCAAGGCAACCGACCTGGAAGTTCCGTCCATTGTAACTTTCAACAAACATATATAGGCCCGGCCCTGTCGACGGCATCAGGTCCGGTTTCCCAGTTTGTGCACCCCCCCGCAGCAACACGGTCCAACGTCTCGACGTGACAGAAAACGATGGTAGCATGCCACCCATGCGACCGCAAGACTTGAGATCGACCTGCACTCGACCGCGCTCGAAATGTTAACGAAGATCGTCCCTCACCGCAGCTGAACTCTTCACGGACGATTTCTGCTCCCGTCGTTGCAGTGCGTGCTGTATGGGACTGGCAGCTGCAGGGTGCTCAGGGCTGACGGGACGTGGACGGTGGGACAGCTTGCTAGCGTCGGTCAGATCCGCAGCGGGCCACCGAGTGATCTGGTGGTAGGTGCGCAGCCCCCAGGCCACCCCTGCTCTGCAGGTGGTTGCTTCAGGCGATGGCGCCCCAAAACGAAACTCGTCGGCCTGCGCCCGCACCTCGGTTGTTCTCCCGCCTTTCGCAAGTTTCAAAGCGCTCGTTCCTGTCGTACTCATCTTCCTTCGAGGCCGACGACGAGCGATCCAGCACAGCCACTAGGGGGGACTTGGGCATCATGAATGGCATGCGAAGCAGAAGTGGCAGCGACAGCGGCAGCAGCCTGTTCATAGCCCCCGCCCGCTATCCTGGCGAGGACACCCGCCCCACCAGCCCGAGGGAACTTGCCGGATGGTATGCCTATGCCTTCGCCGCCGAGGTTTATGTTATCTGTGGTCAGTTGGTCGAGAATCGGGCAAAGCCCAATCGATGTTGTGCCCTGCGCAAGCTAACGAATTGACATAGGAATCGGTACGTTCATGGTCGCTCTCACCCGGCATCCCATTGCCCTCGACACCCTTCAATCTTTTCTCAACATCGGTTCAACAGCTTACTAGCTGATAGGGTCCTTCATTCCGATACTCCTTGAAAGTTTGGCGCGAGAAAATGGCGTTCTCCTGGTCGACCGTAAGACGCCCTGCGGTCCAAGCTCGGCAAGGACCCCCGGCGAAGATGGACAATGCATTGTCTATGTACTCGGCATGGAGATCAATACGGCGAGCTTCGCCATGTACACATTCAGCATAAGTGTCCTGCTACAGGCCCTCCTAGTCGTCAGCATAAGCTGTGCGGCGGACCACGGCAATTATCGAAAGAAGCTGCTGCTCGCCTTCGGCTGGATCGGGAGCATATCCGTGATGCTCTACATTTTCGTCTCGAAAAACATCTATTTGTTTGGCGCATTTCTCGCCATCATATCCAACACGTCTTTCGGAGCCTCCTTTGTGCTTCTCAACTCGTTCTTACCTCTCCTTGTGAGACACCATCCTGTGGTTAGCTATGCGGAGGCCGAAACCAGCCCGGACCTAACCGCCTCTAATGGTCTGTCGCGGCACCCTGAAGGCCCGTCAGCGCTCAGCCAAGATACCGAGAGGTCAATGCAAGACTCTACAGCGGCGCTGTTGTCCAGGGAATCCACAATAGGAGGGCACGATCTGTCGCGGGCGCATACTCGCGAGGAGCTGACATCGCAAGAGCTTAGCCTCTCCACGCAAATCTCGGCGAAGGGCATTGGAATTGGTTACATCGCAGGACTATTTCTGCAATGCGTCGCCATTTTCATTCTCATCCAAATGAGCAACTCGACCTGGTCGCAAAGGGTTGTCTTGTTCGTCGTTGGCGCATGGTGGGCCTTGTTTACGGTTCCTGCCGCCATGTGGCTCCGCCCCAGACCGGGACCTCCGTTGCCGGCATCGTTGAGTGGCAGTGGCGTCCGCGCCTCAATATCCTACACCTTGTACGCTTGGAAATCTCTTTTCCGTACTGTCCGGCTCGCGAGACGGCTCGTCGACATTGTGCTCTTTCTAGGCGGCTGGTTTCTGCTGTCGGATGCCATCGCGACGACTTCCTCCACTGCGATCCTCTTTGCGAAAACCCAGCTCCATATGGAGGCGTGGGCCCTGGGGATGATCAACGTGATATCGACGACCGCGGGCATCGTCGGGGCGTTTTCGTGGTCCTTCATTTCGCGGCGCTTTCGTCTTCAGACCCATCAGACGATTCTTGCGTGCATTGCCCTGTTTGAAATCATCCCGCTCTACGGTTTAATGGGCTACCTCCCCTTTGTGAAGAACTGGGGCGTTTTCGGCTTGCAACAGCCATGGGAGATGTATCCCCTGGCCGCCGTGTACGGATTCGTGCTCGGCGGTCTCAGCGGATACTGCCGCTCACTTTACGGCGAATTGATCCCTCCCGGCTCCGAGGCTGCATTCTACGCCCTCTACGCGATCACCGACAAAGGGTCGAGCGTGTTTGGGCCAGCGATTGTCGGGGCTATCATCGATGCCTCTGGCGAGATTCGGCCTGCCTTCTGGTTCCTGGCCGTGATTGTGGGCTTGCCGGCGGCGCTCATATGGTTCATCGATGTAGAGCGAGGGAAGAGCGAGGGGGAGAAGCTTGCCGAGATCATCGAGGGATTCAAAGTCGGGGATGACGAGAACACAGTTGGAAGCGACAGCGACGATGAGAGCCGGGCGATCCTCTCTGCATATGACGAGTCGACGGAGACGGATCGCATGTAGAAAGAAGATTGAGGGAGAAGAAAGTTGGAATATTTTAGGACATGTCTTCATGGTGTTATAGTTACGGTTGGTTTTTGTGCGGAGCATGCATAGCGTCGGCGTTGGTGGTATGTATAGCTGGGCTATTGCCCGTAATGTAGTATGCTGCAGAGAAGGCAAAGGCGGAAGGAGAGATCGAGTACTTCGTAGTAGCTAGTAAGGTGGCCAGTGGAATGCAGACAAGCTCATCTCAGACCATTTGGAGGGATTGATTCTCAAACACAAGTCCTTACGTATGTAAGTGGTTCAAATCTGGCAGTTTTCGCAGGTTTAGTTTATCACGCTTCCCAAACTGACAAATCACTTGGAAGCTCAGGTTCAACAAAATGACTTTGAATCAATGAGCTAAGAAGTATAAGCTTAAGCCATGGGTCACCACTGCCGAATTGTGCCCTTTGCTCTTACTAACGTCTGGAGTTTGGAACCGGCATGTGTCCGCCAAGCGCTATAGAATCCGGAAGAGGGCCCCAGCCACAGCATTTCTCCTCACCTTCTCCTCATCGCGAAAATCACGTGGCTGGGGCCTCCCATGTTTTTACCTAGCCAGAGGTGGCGGACGCGGAAACCAGAAACCAAATTTTGATTGCTGTCAACTTCGGTTGCGACAAACATTGCTTCTTCATCGCCCATTGACGCTCGAGCATCGCACATCCGGCCGGCGACAGCCGAGAGGATTCCGTCGACAGCTTAATCGACTTTTGCACGTTTGGCAGAGCTTCGGGAGCTCGGGTCAACTCAGTCACTGCGTCGCAATTGCTTCCATCGCTTTTCGTTTGCGCCGGCGCTTTCCCAGCCACCGGTGACCGTAGCAAGTTGGAGCCATCATCAACTCGCGCGGAGAGCTGACGCATCTCTAAACCCTCCGCGCAATCACCGCCCGTGCAGCCTACCGGCTTGCTCTCTCAAACGTTGCTCGTTTTTTTCCGGCGCAAAAGCTTACGATTCGCCAACTTGTCGCTTGGACATACCCATCTCTGGCTGCGATCTAGCCCATCCGCAAACAGCGTCGACGCGTCGCAACAATGGCGTCCGCGCGCAAGAGGCCAAGGACTGAAGCTGAAGACAACCGGGCGGAGTGCCCGTTCACCATCAAAATTGTTGATCCCAGGGAAAAGGATCAAAAGAAGAAGAAGCGCCGGCGGACCGAGAATGGCGAGGAGGAGGATCCAGGCCAGAAGGTCAACCTGCAAATGTCGCCATTTGCGCCCTGCGGCAAGTTCAAGACTCACGAAACTATGGACCTCCACTACCAGGTCGACCCGGCCAAGAAATGGACCGACATGACGAGGTACAACAGCTTTGTCCGTAAGTGTGCAGTCCCGGCCCAATTCACCATCACCACCTTCGCGGCGCATCGAACTGACATTGGCCGTGTCACACAGTCAATGGGGTCAAGTACTTTAGTGAAGGGTTTATCTACGTCGCGAATGACTCGAGCATCGAGCGACAGAAGGCTGTTAACAACAACGAGCCGATGCAGCTTAGGAAGAAGTCAGATGATGATTGGGTAGCCCGCATTCTAGAGATCCGCGCAAGCGACGAACACCATGTGTATGCGCGGATCTACTGGATGTACTGGCCCGACGAGCTTCCCCAGGGCACCCACGATGGGAAAAAGACAGTCCAAGGCCGCCAACCGTATCACGGCTTGAATGAGTTGATCGCTTCCAACCACAGTAAGAACAATTGGATTGGCGGCACGTCAAGTTTGGAGCCAATGCTAACAAGGGCGCAGTGGATATCATCAATGTGGTGAGCGTCACCTCACAAGCCCAAGTGAAGCAGTGGTACGAGGAGAACGACGAAGAGATACAAAACGCGCTGTACTGGAGGCAGGCCTTCGACGTCAGGACATATGAACTTTCAGTATGAGTCTCTCCGGTCCCCCCACCCCCCTCGTATCATATCAAACTAACGCATTACAGAGCGTCGAGCTGGTGTGCAGTTGTAATACGCCCGCGAATCCCGACAAAATGCTCGTCGGGTGTACAACTGAATCGTGCAAGAAGTGGATGCATGAGCAGTGCATCTTAGATGACGCCCTCAGATCAGCGTACCGCCGCTTGGGCACCGACAAACCACACGTCTCTCCGGTAACACCCAAAAAGGAGGAGAATGGCGACGAGGGGAAGCGGCCGTTGAGTCCGACAGAAACCGGTGCCGAGCAGCACTCGATCGACGTCAAAGCAGAGACTGGCTCAGCAGACGCTGTCCACGTCAACATGAAAGACAACGTCGACGTCAAGCAGGCGGACGACGAAGATGCCCCGGCGGAGCTCGAAGACTCCATTGTTGAGCGGTCGACCGAGGCGAGGTCGGCGACGAGCGAGCGTGCCAACGCAGACACACCGCACAAGTCCGCTACCGGCAAGTCAACTCCTGGCCGGCGGCCGGGCAGGCCGAGGAAGAAGGGGAGTGAAGCCAATGGCGAGAGCGCACGGCCGTGGGAGGGGCTGTTCGAGGCGTCGCTGAAGATGATGGACATTGGCCCGCCGCTGATAGAGTTCAAGGATCTGCGCGAAGGCATTGTGGGCGGCGAGAAGACGTGGACCGAACCTGTCAAGTGCCTGCTTTGCGGAACAAAAGTCAACTAATACCCGGACCGTGTTCCGCTCCTGGATCACGACAGACTTTGTCGGCAAGGATCGAGGATGGGGATGCTCAGGATGACGTAGGAAGCCGCCGCCGCTACACCTTCGCTCACTCCGCTCACTGCCCCAACGGAGGGCGCCAGGCGTAGCCGCCAAGGCGGAGTGAGGGGTCTGAGGATACTCCGAATGCGTCGTGTCGTTGGACGATCGGCCGACGACAAAGAAGTCATCATTTTCAGTCGCCGCGGGAAACAGCCGCGAGGCTGTTGTCCGGAATAGGCGAGACGCCGATGGATAGCCTGTTGGCTGGGCAGACGGGCCAGGGTCTTTGAGTTTTCTGATGGGATCGACCAAGCCAGGAGCTAAATGAGCTAGCCTACTTTTACTGTGGCCAGCCCGGGGTGAAAGCTGGGCTGTTGTGTTAGGGTATTCGTATCTTGTTCTTTGGAGGAGGAAGGAAGGGGCGGAAAAGACCATGGAAGCTGTGTAGTATTTTGTCTGGCTACGAGAGCCCACCCAATGACGCCCATGGAACTGGCCCAGTCGTCGTGTGTTCCTTTGGAAGGGCATCAACATACGTTCTATCCTACTTACCTATCTAGCCGCCGTCATGTTATGGAGCCTTACCTATCACTTTGAGGGAATGGAAACATTTTAGGGTACCAATGCCAAAAGAAGATAGCAGAATCCTTTTTTTGTGGATGGGAATCAGAACAGGGGGACTTTCTCGTTGTGTTCATGTCGTTCCTATGTCTCGCCGACTGCGGTGATCCCTTCTAGCATAAATATTGTCTTGGCTTGCCCCCTTTACATGCTTTTTCTGCCTCTCACTTGTCAATTTGGTTTACCCGCGGCTAAGGAGTGCATATGTGTTGATACAGGAGCGTTGAGATAATGGAGAGGAGGAGTGAGAGAAGGGATTCATGAACAATCACAGACATCACTCATCGAGCAGCTCTGTCTTTCCCACTCTGGCTCTTGCCCTTCTGCGATTGTTTTTAAATCTTAGCGTGGGTGTACATACATATCCCAGGCGTCCAAAGGGTGCCGTGGATGATGAAGATGGGGCTTGATCCTCAGACCCTGTTGAATTGGCCATGTGGTTCTATGATAAGAGGGTCGTGGTCAGGGCCAAAAGGACTGGCGAGGGTTCAGGACCCCGGGGGGTTACTGGAGGAGCAGCAGCAGCAGGAGAGAACGAGTCTATACTATGCGAGCTGCAGTAACCTAGTCGACCCGAGGTAGCAGTCTCGTTGTAAAGTCATCGCCATTAGTGTCATTCTTAGTCTCTTGACTCCCTTCTCGCCTTCCATGTCTCACTGGCCAGGGGTGTCTGTTATGTACATACTGGTTATTGCCTTGGGACGCCGCAGATTGAGATGATTATCAAATCTACCTCCGTACAATACGCTCGATTTGGCATGGAGAAAACTCTCTCTCTTGGTTTTAGGTCTGCTACTGTATCGCCTGCACGAGAAGTTACAAAAAGAAAGGGACCGGCAACCAGCGAAAAGGGGGCAAAAATGCAAAGCGTTGGGCCAAATAGCAAAATGAATTGACCGCGGCAGGGCTCGAACCTGCGATCCTCTGCGAAACCGAACAACTGGATTGTCTTGTAAAGCAGATGCCTTAACCACTGGGCCACGCAGCCAACCTATGATGCTTCGGCTTGAAAAACTGCTCTATTAAGTTCAGTGCCTTTCCATTCGCATCTTCTACACGGTGTGAACGACCTGATTGGCTGGGGGGACGAGTGCATAGTTAAACGGGCAAAAGTGGTTTGCAAACGCGATTTTACGCGACAGCATACAGAGAAAGAGCCCAGTATGATCCGTCTACGGGCTGTAGACACGCTGCTAAGCAGCGCTACTATTCCTCATAGGACATTATCAAGGTCAGTTTAGACCCAATGGCACATGGACCTCAAGACAAGTCTCGCTAAACAATTTGGACAGATGTTTCCTCCATCGCCAAATAGAGACGAATTTTCAATTAGTGCCACGCTTGGGTTCTAGCAGACCGAACCATGTCCCCCAACACCCTACAATAAGGAGACCATTCTCCCACACAACATGTCGGAAGAGGAGGAACAGGAATGAGAACACACCGCCCGCCGCACCAGCCACAACCGACGAGGGCGAGCTAAAGCCAGAGCCGATCATCAATCCCTACGACTTCACGGATCTGCACGATGCCTACCGCGCTCTCGAGAAGCGCTTCGTCGACGAGCTGAAGCAGCTGCGCAGCGGGGGCAAGGGCTTTGCCGAGGCCATTGGCGCGGTGCCCGTGCGGGTGGACAAGAAGTCGCCGCAGGTGTTCCCGCTGCGCGAGCTGGCGACGGTGGCGCCGCTGGGCGGGAGGAGGTGGAGCATCCTGGCCTTCGAGGAGTCGTCAGTCAAGCCCATCATGAGCGCGGTGCAGCGGTCCGACCACTTCAACCAGCAGCCGCAGCGGTCCGAGGACAACCCGCTCGAGCTGGTCATGACGGTCGAGCCAGAGCGCGCCGACGCCCTCTCGCGGCGCGCCATGGACATCTGCAATGCGTGGCGCAACCGGGTGCGCGAGGAAACGCATAACCGCGGCGAGAAGACAAAGAAGTACTACCGGCAACGGCGCATCACGAGCGACGATTTGCACCGGCTGAAGGAGAAGGCGAAGAAGTTCCAGGACGAGCAGATGAAGATCATCCAGGCGAAGGAGAAGGAGGTGGTGCAGCTTATCATGGCGAGGTCGAGCTGAAGTGGATTGGGAATGACGCCGGGAAACGCCACAAGGTGCAAACGGAGCCGAGCATGGCACGGGCAAGGGTATGTATAAAATAGAACCAAGGTAAACCGTCTGTATATGGATAGATGCCTTTGTACAATACAACTAGCAGTGTAAAATGAACAACTTAGGACGTGTATTGTTACAGTATGGGATGCACACTAGGCTCACGACAATCGGAGCCTACATGCGCAGCGGGCCTTTCCCTCAAACCACCCCCTTCCCGTCTCCATCAAGCCTGCTTGGCCTGGGAAGCCGGCTTTCCACCGGCCGCAGCGGCCGGCAGCAGAGAAGCAAGCTTGTTCATAAACTTTTCTGAATCTGTCGCCCTGTAGGTAAAGGTGCGGCTGACGTAGTTGGCGACGGCCGCCTTAGGATCGCCTATCGGAGCGAACCCGGGCGGCTGCTCGTACTTGCCGCGAATGGCGGTTTCGATAATGGCCTTCTTAATCTCAGGTTTGGGCCCGACGAGGTGGTGCTTTGGCTTGGCTCTCTCAATCCACTCCTTTTCGGCCGTGCTGTGCACAAAGATGGGCTGCTTCTTCTCGTAGCGCTTCAAGATGGCCGTGATGTCGGCCGTGACGCCACCCGAGTCGGCGTTGAAGGCCATGCCGCCCGTCATGACGCGCATCTCGCGGATGGCCGTCTCGACCTGGCCCAGCGGAGAGTCGGACGCGATGGCCGCGCCGTACCCGCTCAGCGAGTCGAGCGTCAGCTTGGGGTCGAACCGCACCTCCTCGCCCTTCTCAAGCCGGTCCACGATGGCCTTTTCCTCGGGCGTCAGCTTCTTCCAGTTCCTGTCCGCTTCGTCGTCCTTTCCGCCCTCGTCGCGTGGCTTTGCCCCCTTGCTCCGCGTCCTTCGCATTCCGGAGGGTCTTCCTCCGCTTCTTCCTAGCCCGGCTCTGCCGCCCGCTGCGCCTCCAAGTCTGCCACCGCGGACTCCAAACCCCCCGGACCCGAACCGTGTCGTGCGGCCGGGCCCCGCTTGCTCTCCCGGCCCTGCTCCACGCCCGGGCCCGGCGAAGCGCGCACCGCCCATGCCGCGGATGCTGCGTAGATTGAGAATCTTGGGCGCGACGAGACCGCCAGAGCCCAGCGGTTTGGAAGTAGCGCTCAGAGCGCGGGCATCGATGGGGCCCTTGGCCCGCGGTTGCGATGGACGTTCTCGGCTCATGGGACCAGCTGATTCTAACTGCCCGCTCTGCGCATTCATCTGCTTATTGCCTAGCATGGCGATCTTCTGGGCTGCGGCCTCGGAGCGCTGGCGGCCGCTGGGGCGGTCTTCGGACTGTGCTGCTGTCGTGGAGAAAGCCGCGCGAGCTGCCCGTCTGTTGACGTTGATGCTGACATTGAGGCTCCCGCCGAGGCATTGGGCGGCGGCTGGCGTAGCGCGCCATACGGCGGCGTGCACAGCCTGCCGGGTCATGATTTGGTCGGCGTTGTGGTCACCCTCGATTCGGTTGCAAGCTGCCTCAAGGGTTTGTTCGGCAGCTCGCAAAGGGCAAATGGCAGCTCGAGGTTGTGGAAAATGTTGGTGCGCCTTGTGATTGGTGAATGACTTCAAAGTGTGGGGCTGCTCTTGCTGGTGCTGCTCCACTGCACCAGTCATGCCTCCGCAGCGATTCATCTCGGACGCAATTTTTATCACCAACCGTCATGGTCTCCATACAACGGCAATGCTGCTCATGAAGGGCACGATCGTTGTCAATTGGCAAGACGCCATAGGTTAATCTCTCAGGTTCATCTTTGATCCTATCTTCCTGAACTAGCTGTCCTCTGCGTTGCCTCGACTGCGCTAGCCTCCAGAAACGTGTCTTTGAACCGGATCAAGTCACCCTCTGAAGGCGACTGACCAGGGAATGCAGAATGGCTAGCTCTACATTGCGTTTCTTGAGTCTCACAGCCATACAGTCCGATGAAAAACGCAGCTTGGGTGTTTACCGAGTACACGACAATGTTGGCTCGTTTCCTTGGAACATCCACACACTTTTGGAGGCCAGAACTGTAGGGGAGAAGGAAGCTGTAGGCACAGCAGTTCTCGAATCCACGGTTATTACTGCAAGTTAGCCAGGCGAGGCGTCGAGACATCCTGTTTTCTCGGAAGCGAGTCCCTATATCAACCACCTTTGACGAGGGACAATACCTGCCAACGACTTAGGTTCTGCCACTGAGTCCGAATCGTGGATGATTATACAGCCCGATCTACCGCGGGATGCATGTAGATCCAGGACGGCTCGGCATTGAGCAGTTTTCGACCACGATGCCTAGATATGCACCGTTCATTTTGTGGGCCTAATTCCGCAGTTCGACAAGGAGATCGCCTTGACCCGCCGCCGTCGTCCGAGGACAAGGCAGCTAGCTGTGTTCAGGATCAAGAGTGGTGTGCATGCTCTACCACAGAGACACGCAATAAGACTTCATGGATTCGTTCTAGCGCTGACTACCTGCTCCGATATATGCTCCTTCGATCGGGCCTTCCTTAACTGCCCAGCATTTGGATTACGAGTCTCGTTCCCTGAGAGCACGGCATATCTTACGAGAGCAGATGGCCATGCCCATATTATCCGACCAGATCAGATCATCGGAACCCTTGAAGGGGGGCATGTCGCCGGTGGTGGAACGCAGTGCGCGGGCCGCGGGAGTACTACCCGGTCTGAAAGCTAACGGATATTGCACCAGCCGGTGATGCAGACACCAAGGTTCCCGGCGGCGATATACAGAGCCTAAATGCCTCAAGACGCTGTCCAGAAGTAAGCAGCGAAGCAGTATCTGCCGACCCGCCTTTTTGAATCAAACAAGGTCATGTCCATCGGCAGACCGGCTCGGACAAATCCCAGCCGAGGGATAACAGAGAGGGCCGGGGCCTTCATAGACCGAAGAATCGGAGATCCTGTCTTGGGCGCTGGTTTCCAGCAGATTCGGAAGACAATTCCGCCTGTAGGTACTCTATACATACGCGGTGAGTAAAATAGGAGGACCGCTAGTTATTAATCGGTTAGTAGGACAGGTTTACATCGACAACATGCGCTGTGGCGTGGCTGTCCGGCCTTGAATATCGCATACGACGCCGAGCTTCTCTGAGTAGCTGATCATAGCCATGTAATCGAAGACAGTGTATCTCGTCGGATCGTCCGGAGCGGCGGCATCACGCACCTATGCAGGGTGTGATCCGGCCTTTGAGTCCGACACGGCTTCGACAAGCTCAAAACGACGAGGCGATTCACATATCCGAAGACACTGATCATCTCGTATGACCGCGCCATGCGCCTAAAATCGATTCGGATATGTCAGACATGACCACAACGCCGATTGACCAGTCCAATGGCACAGTCGGAAAAGACACCAAACAAGTATGATACTATATACCGGGCCGTCCCGGAAGTAAGCCTGATCTTGACGGCTGATGCCAATGCCCGCTTGGCCCTTTTCGATAATTAGCGATGCTTCCCATAGCATATGCTTGGACGAGAACGACATGTAACTTGGACTTGATTGGGGAAAGAGACAGCTACCTTTTCAATTCTCACATGGAAGAAAGCGCACCCCGTGAGGTATCTCGAGGGTAGGTATGTTAGATTTTGTATGTAATCGACCCACTGTTTCTGGGAAGCTTCGATACAACAGGCTCGAGACAGGGCAGTTGAAACCAGAACGCCAAAAAGCTTGATCCAGCAAATCATTTCTCCGATTTGTCCGCACAGGGACCGTTTCTATCAGCTGCAGACATCTTTCAATGGAACAGATAGCAACACATTCGGTCAGGGTACCGTTGGCTCTCAACCACCTGACGGCGACTTCGGTCAAGGGATCCATTTGGCGTTGGCCCTCCGGGTGATGGATCGTGGATCGACCGCTCCAACAGCAGCCGTTTTCACCGACGTTCAGCCGCCGAGCATTGAAACCCCGGTTGGAGATGCCGTCGGAGCCGTAGGGTTGTGGCCACGACCTACGATGCCCGTGACAAAAACCCCAGTTTTATAGGTACGGTCCTGGTACAATGCGCTGAGCCAGCCGTTCAGTCCGTGTAACTTCCAGCTCGAGGCTCACTCAGCCTTGACAAGCGGCTATCCCGGTTTTCCAGAGCCACTAGACGCAACGTCCCTGAGAAGGGTTGCATCGGGCCGCCTCCGGAACGTGCTCCTTTGGAGGGCAGTTTCCGCCTGGGTGGTTACACCGGGGGCGCTACCACGTTGCGACTTCAACGGCAGCTAGAATTCCAGGTCATGACAACGGATGGAGATGCCAGACCGTGGTAAACTTTTGAGATGGCGTCCACCCATCGGCACTGATCCGACGTCGACCCAGATAGAGCCTTGTTACAATGTATGCATGGCGCATGGCACTAAGGCAACGGACAATGGCCGCATATTGCTGCCGTCTGCGGGATGGCAATCACATGGCTCCCTAATCAACACATTACGAGAGTTTGGACGGAGGCATCTTAGGGCGATAAGGGCCCCGCGAATCATACAGTATGTATTCTATCCATCACTATCCCCGGGGGGGGGTTTGAGTCGCTTTGTCGGCTGGCGAATCCGCAACGCCGCCGTTCGCCCTGCCCAGGAATCCGGCCCGAAGTCCCGCAAACAACCACAAGCTTGTCGATCCGAGGAAAGCCTTACCCACGCTTCCTCAGTTTCTGCAAAGCCTCGATTCATGGTTTCATATCGAGCATACAATATCACCCTTGTTTGTTCGTTAGTGCCTGACTTGGAGTCAAGGGTCAACCCCAAGATCTCGATCTCGACAGCAAAACAGCCATTTTATCAACGGGAAAACGGTGCGAGTAAGACACCATCATAAGCATTGCTAAGGTTCTCTGTTTTTTTGTGTTGAACCATTCCCTATGGCTGTTGAGATGCATCTTTCTTGAACCTAGGACCAGGACCCATGTCATGAGTCCCGCGCTAACAAACAAACCAGGGTTGTACTGTATCCGTACTTCGACCGAATCGCTGGAACTCAAGCGGCGAACACATCCAGGCCACCGACCTTGCTCGTCATCCACGATACAGATTATGCCCGGGGCTGCACCAATGATCAGTACATCAGATGGATTCTTGTTTTCTCTAATTCTCCATATACTTCAGGTAATATCTGCAAAGCCACAATACGCAGTGACCTATTGGAAGTCTCGGTCAAGCCGGCCGCATAGTACACTATTGCCACCGTCACTTTTTCGCCCCATACGCCTCGGGATCCATCAGAGTTGAGGTTGGGTTCAGTCTGGCTTCGGTATATTGACCAACAGCTTCTGCCACAGCAGGAGGTCCCTGTATCGACCAACTGATGCTTGGGTCGCCAAGCTGCCATCAAACGTCGTTTACAAGGATCAAACGGCCAGGCTTTTCTTGGACGGTGGCTGCTTCACTTTTTTTGTCCTCCATCGTCCCTACGTTAACGCGCATTACAGAGTACAGTACGGATACGAAGAGCGCATTTACGGTCTAGAAACCGAGTTCCTGGGAGTCGTCCCCCTGCTTGGCGTCAGGGTGCAACGAGACCCGGGCTGATCGAATCCACACCTCCTGCTTTCACACTCCACTTGACCGAGCTCGCCCTTGTCCTCCGCCTTATGCAATAACGCCGCGTGCTACATGCCTTGGCTGGCTCTAAACGATGCTGGCGCTCACACGGTCCGCTCCTCCCGATATGGCTATTTGCACCCGAGGGCAATAATCAAAAAGGGGGCTACGGACAACGTGAACAAGCTGTCAAGTGACGCAACTGCCTCGATTGCTCGCAGCCACACTCCCGGTCAGATCTTCCCCGTTCCATACCCCACGCTGTGGCATCTTGAGAAACACCCCCGTCCGCGCCTGTCGTTACACTGAGGCCCCATGTTCCGGCGGGTGACCTTGGAGATGGGTATCATCTGTATGGCCCGTCTCCCAAAAGACCCCAAGGGAGCTTGTTCCTCCGCCCAAGAGCCGTCCTCAATCCTCAATGCCCTCGTTAGGGCCCGAGTCCCGTCAACGGTTTGCTTGGCTCTCTCTATCCCCATGTCCAACACCCTGCTTCTTCCTTCGAAGGGCGTTTTCATATCGGGCGGTTAATACTCGGAAAATAGACCCAGTTGTATATCCATCTGATCTTCCCTCGATTGATAACGCATCCAATCTCTTGTTCTCTAGTTGTGTGCTGTTCACCCTTGACCGCTGTGCTTCAAGCTTCCTGTCGTTGTGTTCAAGAGCCAATCTTTGCGTCGTGCCAACAAGTATATGTGACAGACTATAGCGAGAGAAAGAGGTACTAGTACACGACGTAGGGTATAAAATGGCGGCAATAGCGGAAATCAGCGGTATCGACACCGGGCGTGATAGCGACCTGAGTGTGTCACCATTCGGCAGCATCAGTACAAACACAACCCCGGATACCGAGTTCTCGCCTCCAGACAGCCCATTCCAGCAAACCAGGCCTCCAAGAGACGAGAGGCATCTGGCTAGGAAGAAGCTGGCTACCCTGACCCTGGAGGAAAAGGTCTGTCGACCCTAGTCCCTTTTTCGAAATCTCAGGGCACTGACAGGCAGAAGGTCTCACTACTGACGGCCGCAGACTTTTGGAGGACCAAGGCGATCCCATCCAAGAACATCCCGGCTATCAAGACAAGTGACGGGCCGAATGGTGCCCGTGGTGGGATTTTCGTCGGAGGTACCAAAGTGTGTTTTCGTGAAAGGGACCAAGTGAGGCGCCCGTGATGCTAACCGCCATGAACAGGCTGCTTTTTTCCCTTGCGGTATCTCGCTGGCGGCAACATGGAACAAGAATATGCTATATCAAGTTGGTCTGCATCTTGCTGAGGAAGCCAAGGCGCGGTCGGCCAGCGTCCTCCTTGCGCCAACCGTTTGTATGCACAGACACCCGCTTGGGGGGAGGAACTTTGAGTCGTTTTCTGAAGACCCTCTCCTGACTGGCAAACTGGCGGCCCAGTACATCAGCGGCCTGCAGGAGAGAGGTGTAGCCGCAACAGTTAAACGTTGGTTTCTCCTTGTTCCCTCTTCTTCTTTGTGCGCAAGAAAGATTGACGATGAAAAGACTTTGTTGGCAACGAGCAGGAGACGGAGAGACAAACTGTCGACTCGAGAATTGCCGAGAGGCCGCTTCGAGAAATTTACCTGCGCCCTTTCGAGATCGCGGTCCGTGAGGCTAGGCCTTGGGCGCTCATGACTTCGTATAATCTGGTGAACGGCGTTCATTCTGACATGAACGAACACATCCTCAAGGACATTCTCCGTGGGGACTGGGAGTATGATGGGTAAGTGACAAACTCGCCTAGCCGTACAAAAGTTCTGAGGGGATACCGACTGAACCTTTCAACATAGAACCGTCATCTCGGACTGGGGCGGTCTCAACTCGACTGTCGAGTCGCTTAAGGCTGGCTGCGACATCGAGTTCCCCTTTTCTACCAAATGGCGCTTTGAAAAGCTTTTCGACGCACTTAAAGACGGGAAACTCGCCGAAGCCGATATCGACCGGGCCGCTGAGAACGTTCTTACACTTGTAGAGCGCACCAAAGGCAGCGACCTGACTCCCGAGGCCGAAGAGGTAGAGGATGATCGTCAAGAGACACGGGAACTCATCTACGAGGCTGCCGTCCAGGGGCTTACGCTGCTGAAGAATGAGGGGTCGATTCTGCCGATCAACCCCAAGACGGCCAAGGTGGCCGTCATTGGACCGAATGCTAACAGAGCAATTGCGGGCGGTGGCGGAAGCGCGAGCCTTAACCCTTACTACACAACCCTGCCCCTTGACAGCATCCGCAAGGTCGCCCAGCAGCCCGTCACATACTCCCTGGGATGCAGCATCAACAAGTGGCTCCCAGTTGCATCTCCCTACTGCTCCGACAAGACGGGGAAGCAAGGGGTTACAATTGAGTGGTTCAAGGGTGACAAGTTCCAGGGCCCGCCCGTCGTCATCCAGCGGCGGACCAACACGGATCTCTTCCTGTGGGACTCGGCGCCCCTTTCCGACGTGGGACCCGAGTGGTCGGCAATCGTGACGACGTACCTGACGCCCAAAACTAGCGGGAAGCACACCATATCGTTCATGTCAGTGGGGCCGGGCAAGCTGTACGTTAATGGGAAGCTTGCTCTGGATCTCTGGGACTGGTCAGAAGAAGGCGAGGCCATGTTTGACGGCTCGGTGGACTACCTTGTCGAGGTCGACATGGACGCGAACCGGGCGGTGGAGCTCCGCGTCGAGATGACGAACGAATTGCGCCCCGTGGCCAAGCAAAAGCAGTTCAACATGACGCACAAGTACGGCGGGTGCCGGATCGGCTTCAAGGAGGAGGACAAAGTCGACTATCTACAAGAAGCGGTCGATGCGGCGAAGGCTGCTGACGTGGCTGTGGTGATTGTCGGTTTGGACGCCGAGTGGGAGTCGGAAGGATATGATCGCCAGACCATGGACCTGCCCTTCGACGGCAGCCAAGACCGCCTGATTGAAGCTGTCGTCCAGGCCAACCCGCGCACCGTGGTCGTCAACCAGTCCGGCTCGCCCGTCACAATGCCCTGGGTCGACCGGGTGCCCGCCATCATTCAGGCGTGGTACCAGGGCCAGGAAGCGGGCAATGCGCTTGCCGACGTTCTCTTTGGTCTCAGGAACCCCAGCGGAAAGCTACCGGTAGCGCCCCCCCCTCTCCCTCTTTCCCCTATCTTGATAACTAACCAATAGTTCGTTAGTGCACCTTCCCCCGCCGACTAGAGGACACACCGGCGTACCACAACTGGCCCGGCGAGAACCTGCAGGTGGTGTACGGAGAGGGCCTGTACATTGGGTATCGGCACTACGACCGGGTCAAGGTGGCGCCGCTGTTTCCCTTTGGACACGGCCTGTCGTACACAACGTTTGAGTACGGCCGCCCGTCGCTCAGCGCCAAGGTCCTGAGCCCCAACGGCAGCATCGAACTTACGGTGGGTATAAGCAACCTCGGCCCCGTGGCCGGCGCCGAGACGGTCCAATTGTACGTTCGCGACCCAAAGAGCCGGCTGCCCCGCCCGGAGAAGGAGCTCGTGGCGTTTGAAAAGGTTGAGCTTGATGCGGGTGAAACAAAGCACCTTAGGATCCCGATCGATAAGTATGCGGTTGGTTACTATGATACGGAGCTGGGCAGGTGGATTGCGGAGGAGGGATGGTTTGAGGTGTCGGTTGCTGCCTCGGCGGCGGATGTCAAGTGAGTTTCGTGTTTTATGTTGGATTGTTTGATCTGGTGGTGAGTTGCTCGAGTACTGACGTGACGATGTCTCTCTAGGTATTCGGTTGCATTTGAGGTTAAGGAGTCGTTTACATGGGTCTTTTGATCTGGCGGATGATTAGTCTGGCCTCTGGAGCATGTTCTGGTTCCCTTTGGGTCTCAAGCTTACATTCTCCCTTGTACATATTGTACATACTCCGTACAATCATGGCTTTCGCTGCATGGCTGCTTTCTTTCCGTTTCTTCTGCCATTGATCTCGCATCTTCCCAACCCATAAATTTGGCCACAACGCTTATAGTCGAATTATCGCATGGGTAAGCGATACCTCTGTACCCGTCTTCGCACTGCAGCATACGAACAGCTGTAATATGTCAGGTCATCAAGAGAAGCCTTCAACCCTGAGCATCTAAGACGGTTTGGCCGCACTGTGCCATGCTTTCAAGTTGTTTACCGCATATCTTGGGAACCGACCTGCCCAATTGTTGGGAGACGGCTAGTGTTCCGGCGTAGACATCGGGTAGGTAGGTCCAAAGGAAAGACAACCTCCCGAGATATTCCAAGTTGATTAGGTACCTGCCTTAAAGGGCACGTTACGAGACCCAACGTTTTGGCTAACAGGGGTGCTGATGGGTGATCTTGGCCCCTGCAGCTCTGCCCCTGCCCCGCAAACGCCAACTGCAGGGCTGCCTAGCCAAGGGGCCTCTTTTTTCAGGGTAACGTCAACTTACGGACAGGTTGAATACTCCGTATGCAATCAACCGCCTGGAATTGGAAGGAACCTTAAGACCGTCGCCATCATTTTTCGCAGTTATCACAACCTTGGCCACCATGTTCTGACCGGCCCCTTTACGAGATTGAAGCTTAAACGAGATACAACCAGGATCCCGTCGTGTCCACTCTGACGTGTGCTGATCATCGACCTTGGACGATTCCTGATCTGGACATACACTAACGAACGCAGCCCTTCCGTCTCTTCTATCCTTCCCATAGCCCATTGCTGTGCGGCCGGGCCGTGGGGAATGGCGAGGCCGGCTCGCCATCATGACGCGGCCTCATAGCAACCATTGGAAAGGGCAAGGGCCGTCGTATCGTGACTATTCCAGCAACTCAACCTCGGCCCTGGAGGACTTCGGCGCATTCGTCGCCGTGGCCTTCAACTCGCTGCTCCGCTTCTGGAGGGAGCGCGGTCGTCATATGGTGTATGCAGCCGCTCTGTCTCTGGCTCATCGACTGCGGCGGAACCTTACCTACGACCGCCTCCTGAGCTTCCCGCACTTGCTCGTCGCCATATGGGTCGTGGTGCTATTATGGGGTGAAAGATGGGTATTTCACTCCAAGGTTGAGAGCTGTCAGTGGGAGAATTGGGAGAACTGGGTAAGCTGGGCATACAAGAACGCAAAGTAACTGTGTGGCCGGAGAACAATGCTGACCACCTGCTGCTTGCTACAGCCTGCCGGAGCAGACCCTCATCGCGTTGTTCTCGTGGCTGACCCTCAGCTCATCGACCCTCACTCATACCCCGGTCGCCCGTGGCCGATCAATCAGCTGACCATGCTAATCACGGACAACTACCTTCGGCGGTCTTACAACCAGCTGCAGTGGCAGTTGAATCCCGACAGCATCTTCTTCTTGGGCGACCTGTTTGACGGCGGCAGGGAGTGGGTCACGGCCCATGGCAAGTTCGAAGACCCGGAATGGGGGCCCCATCCCAAAAACGAACAGAAATACCTGAAGAAGTGGCATAAAACATACCGCGAGGCATATTGGCTGAAGGAGTATGCTAGATTTGGCGATATCTTTCTCAACCCTTGGGTAAAAGCAGGGGCCGCACTTGGTGTCACGCAAAAGAGGAGAAAGCTCGTTGCCAGCTTGCCCGGGAACCATGACCTAGGATTTGGCGCTGAAATCAAGGTGCCGGTGAGGAATCGATTTGAAACCTACTTCGGCGAGGGCAACCGGGTCGATGTCATCGGAAATCATACATTTGTGTCCGTCGACACTGTCTCTATGAGCGCAGCTTCCTCGGACGAGGCTAGGCGGCATGACCTGAAGGAGATTTACGGGCCCGTTGAGCATTTCCTCGTCAATGTCAGGGAAGCGAAGCAGAAGGCGGTTGAAAGGGAGCTGCGGTTTCTCCGGGGCGAGTCGCAGGACCTGGCCCAGTTCAAGCACAAAATCCAACAGCTGACTACTAAAGTCAGAGTCAAAGCCAAATCTGACGACAAACCGACCTCTGGCAACAACGGGCCAGAATTGCCAACTATCCTGTTGACCCACGTCCCACTGCACCGGCCGCCTGGAACTCCCTGCGGCCCGCTTCGTGAACGATGGCCGCCTACCAAACCCGCCAAGGGACAGACGCAACCCGTGTTCCCAGATCACCGCAATGCAATCTCCGTCTCGCGAGGCTATCAATACCAAAATGTCCTCGGCGAAAAGGACTCTGAAAACTTGATCAAGAAAGTCGGCAATGTTGTCCACGCTTTCTCAGGCGACGATCACGACTACTGCGAGGTCACGCACTCACCGGAACAGGCGAACGTCCGCGAGATCACGGTCAAGAGCATCAGCATGGCCATGGGCGTGTCTGAGCCCGGCTTTTTGCTCGTCAGCCTGTATAACCCGATTGACGACAAAGGGAACCCCCTGTACCCGGACTCGGGCAAGCCAACGCTGCAAACGCACCTGTGCCTGCTTCCGCGCCAGGTTTCCACCTACATCCGCTACGTCAGCTTCGCGATCTTTTGCATTGCCCTCCTCGTCATCCGCGCCTTCCTCGTCCCGCTGCTCAAGCTGAAACCCTTCGCACTCGCTCCCGCCGAGCCCGGGTTCCCTGCTACAGGGCGGGGAATTTTACCCGTCTTCAAAGCCAAGATTGAGGATTACGATGAGTATGCCCTGCCGGGGACGCCCACCACGGCGTCATCCCATTCTTGGTACGGCCACGCCAACGGCCACGGCACGCGTGATCGCAGCGGGAGTGTGAATGCGTCGAAGGAGGGCATGGGAGTACGTGGGCATGAGCATCATGCGGACAGAAAAAGCCATAGTAATACCCATGGCTACGCCAATGGCGGGCGCGTGCACCGTGAGAAAGGGCCGGGAAAGAAATGGGCCTCCTGGGGAACAGGTCCCGGCAAGGCCAGGGCTGCCCCGAGGATTGAGATCCCGGGTGAGGACGAGGAGGAATATAGTTACTATAATGCTGGCAAGTGGAAGGTCAAGGGGAGACAAGGTCCGCAGCTCCCCAGGTCGGCTGTCACGGTTGTGGTTACCGAGCTGTGGACCACCGTCTGGAGGGTTACGTGGATGGTGGTGTTGGTGTTTGGCTGGCTGACATGGAAGGGTTGATGGCTGAGCTTTCTGCCAAATGTATAAAAGGGTCTGTATGATATGCGGCGTGGTGTTTCTATGGGGTGTTGGGGAACATATACATAAGGTCTGTCTGTCTGCACGCGCGGGTTAATACTGGGCATCCTTAAATTGGATTTCATTCTTTTGGCTAGCAACCAGACATGGTTTGCGGACCATAGTCAGGAGGGCGCAGATATGGATGGACACCGTGGACACGCGTAGGATAAGATAGACCACGCGGGTAGCGCTCCCGCCGCCCCCGCGTTAAGTGGTTGCAGGACGTTAGACCAATGGGGTCGCGTGGGGCTGAGATGGGGCGCGCATTGGCGGCCGGGGGTCGGCCAATCGTTAGCGCTGACACCAAGGACACATTCAAGCTGACCCCCGGGCGGCATTCTTGTTCTGTGAGATCATCGAACAACAGGTGTAGGTAAACCAGATCCAATTGAGCCATTGAGTGCTCTCCCGCCGAGTCGGAGTCTTGTCAATGACTCTGTTAGAGATATCGGTGTCGCAGCTGCCTGCTTATCCTCGTTTTACGTCACCTGGGGTTGGTTTCTGCATGGTTGCGGCCTGCCTGCATCCCCCTGCAGTTCGTGTTAAATGGTGACGCCAAAAACCGCGTCTCCTTGCGCCGCAGAAACGCGCTTTTTGAAGGAACCTAACTAAGAAAAAAAAAAAAAAGGTCGGCTGGATAGCCAACTTCTGCCCTGTTTGGTTGCGAGGTTTGGGTCTCGTTTGACCAGGATTCCGGTGCTCATCTCCGCTATCTCCCAACGCCCAAACTCAATCGAATCTGGGGTATTTGTACACCTACTTTCTTCCACTCTTCGTGAACTTGACGATACCTGCAGTTTTTGGTGGAAATATTGAACATTCCACAACTTCCCCGGTGATTTCAGCCTACCACGGTCTGTAGGCTCGTTTCCCTCTCAAGATTCAGGGTATTAGGCTCCCAATCCCCGCATCACCACTGTTCTCCCTCCCATCTCCCTCCTGTCGTCTCAGAAGCCGTGTGATTCCATCTGTTCTGTCACCACCAACTCAGAGCCGTCACCGCCTCAGGCTACAGCTTCCTGCGCCCAGCATGTCGACTCTCAAGCGCAAGGCGGCTGCCGAGGCGGGCTCAGACCCGAAGAAGGCCAAACAAGGCAATATCATGTCGTTCTTTGGCGCACCCAAGCCGGCGGCATCTTCGACGACACCTGCCAGTGGAAGTGGAAGCAACAATGCCGCAGCGACGCACGAGCCTTCAGCTCCCAAGTTTGACAAGGTGAAATGGGTCAATTCCCTAACGCCCGAGCAAAGGCAGCTGCTCCAACTTGAGATTACCACGCTGCACGATAGCTGGCTGGCCCTCCTTAAGGACGAGCTCGTCACCAAGGAGTTTCTCGAGCTCAAGCGGTTCCTGGACCGAGAGACGGCCGCAGGCAGGAAGTGGTTCCCGCCTAAGCAAGACGTGTATAGCTGGTAAGCTACCTACATTCCTCAAGCTCGACAAGTTTCGTAGCAACTGACAATCTACCCACCCCGACGTCAGGTCCCGCCACACGCCTTTCAACACCGTCAAAGTCGTCATCCTAGGCCAGGACCCCTACCACAACCACAACCAAGCGCACGGGCTGGCTTTCTCAGTGCGGCCGCCGACGCCCGCACCGCCGTCGCTTAAAAACATGTACATCTGCCTCAAGAACGACTACCCTGCCTTCAACCCCCCAGCAAACAAAGGCGGGCTGCTGACGCCCTGGGCGGACCGCGGGGTGCTCATGCTCAACACGTGCCTGACGGTGCGCGCGCACGAGGCCAACAGTCACTCGAACCGCGGCTGGGAGCGCTTCACGCAAAAGATCATTGACCTCGTCGCCACCAAGCGCACCAGGGGTGTCGTCTTCATGGCCTGGGGCACCCCCGCCGGCAAGCGCGTCCAAAAGGTCGACACAAAGAGACACCTCGTCCTCAAGAGCGTCCACCCTTCCCCGCTGAGCGCTGCTAGGGGGTTTTTCAGCTGTGGGCACTTCCGGCTGGCTAACGAGTGGCTTGCCGAGCGGTACGGGCCGCAAGGGAGGGTGGATTGGGCGCTTGTGGAGGGCGAGAGTGTTTTTAGTGAGGGGGGTGCTGGAGGAGAGGAAGGCGCTGGTGAGGGGAAAGAGACGGCAAAGGTTGAGGGCGAGGTGGCGGAGGGCAGTCTGACGAAGAAGGTTGAAGCGGTGGTGAGGGAGTCGGTTGTTGGGGCGAACCTCGGAGCCAAGGAGAAGGCGCCGGTTGCGGTGGAGAAGAAGGGGACTGTCAAAGCGGCCGATGAAAGCGACGAGAACGTCGTGCCTGAGGTCGAGGCTTGATCAAATGGGTTTTTCTCTTTTGTCTCCGGTTTGCTGTTTGCTGTGGTTACTTATCTGGGAAGGGGCAAGTGGATTTGGCACCGAATTAGGGTCTCCTTTCTAACGCTCTGCCAGGTGCTGAGGCGGTTCTCCTGTAGTCCCTCCTCAGGGATATACGTGACTTGAATCAGTTACGGGTCGACTGTTGTTCGGGAAAGGGTCATGATGGTACGGAATGATAGGAATCACGACAGAAGGCCAGTGCGGCTCAACTAAGGAAAAAACTTTCTGATTCTGACATATGTGAGGTAACCTCGGATCTGGACGTAGAGTATCTAAACGCACAGCTATGTAAGGCCTGGTGTACGTGAATCCCTTGCCCTGCGAGAACTGGCCAAGATTGGAGCATCTCGGAATCCAACGTGATAAGTGTACGTATGTACATCCAGACTATCCTCCTACCTTGGATTTACCCCGTCAACCTGCGCAACATGAGTGATTGCTTTGCTGTCACCTGCATTGAGAAGCATGTGTGCTTGGACCACTCACATTAATACGTGATATACCGGTGGTCAGGCTGCTTTGACACGGGGAGGAATGAATAAAAGATCTATCGTCACTCTCGAATAGGCACATGCTGCTCAAACCAAACTACCCGAGAAGATATCAAGAGGGAAGAACACAAAATGAAGTAATGAAAAAGAAGGTATACAGGTATAGAAGAAAAAGAAAAGATAGCGTTAGGTAGAAGTAAAAAGAAACAAGTCAATCAGGGGTTCCAAGAACGGCAAGTGACCCGCTTGATGTAGAATGTTGATTGGATAAGGAGAGGATCAGGGGTGAAGTCACATACTGTAACTTACCTCGTACTGTATCGCCCACATACAATACAATATATATTACAGATCCCTCGTTTTGTAGTCATTGTTCCGGTCACCGATATTGGATGTCTCATCATGGCGAAAGACGCATGAATTGATCGAGATTTCTTATATGTTAGCCAAAGTCTTGGTGGTGGCTACAAGTATCTTGCGTTACTGTCAGGTATTGTATGTAATTAGTGTCTGACTTGCGGCTTCCATCTGCACTGGGACCGGGGATGCAAGGTCCCGTGGCCCCATCGTCAATGCACGCATTGCAACGAGTTCCGACCAGCCGCATCTCTCGGCCAGCCGTAGGTAACGCGGGAGCAAGTGGGCATTGCAGCAGCACTCCGATGGAAGTTGAATGAACGGCAAGGCGAATTCTAGAGCTTACCTAGTTGGTGTGAATTGCGTTCGAGACGGGTTTGCTGCCCAAAAACATGGCGCTATGCAGGTAATTGTGCGGAAAAAAAGATGGTTTGCCAGTTGTTTGGAACCACACCCATCATTGATAAGGCACCATGCCAACTCACATCCATGCTCGGGAACGCGGGCTGTCCGGTTGGGTTTTGTTGGTCAATCGACAGCCACGAATGAGCTCACCGATGGCTTGCGGGCAGGCCTGTGATTTGTGATGTTCCACGTAGTAACCAAATGTTGGAGTGAGTTGGCACTGCGTTGACAGGATCAATTCGACGCGGCATTGGCTCTTCTCTCAAGGCAATGTCGAGAGCGGGGGAACTGTGAATACAGAAGATGGATGGGGCCTAAGAGCCGTGCCTGTGGGGCGACGTCGAGTGGCTTCGCGAAATTTTTGTGTGATGCAGGCTTTAGCGTTCTGGTGTGACGGCAGAATGCGCAAGTGCCGTGCCGAAGTGCTAGAGCCAGGGCGCCAGAGCCAGAGCCAGAGCCGCCAGGACTCAAGATAGACTATGAAGGTAGGAAAGGTCATAAGCAAGATATATACGGAACACGACCATGCGAGGATCGAGGCTCTAGGTATGTGTTAAGGTGCGTAAGATAGTGCTTGTAATGCTGCTAATCGGCATTATTAGTGGGAGGCTATCCGTACAGTACTGTAATGTAAGATGGCAATCATCAGTTCTTCAGATCGGGTGGAGTGCGGACGAAATGAATAAGATGGTTCAAGTATACCTAGAACCCCAGGACCCTGATGCTTTTACACGTTGAGGCCGCCCGGAAATCTGGAGACCTAGGCACTGTGATCGGCCGAAGTGAGAGATGTTACCCTCAAGAATATCATGGCCGCGTCCCAGCGAGGAGCAGCGTTGGTGCCCATGACACGACCCATTCGTTTCATTTAAAAGTTAAAGGGCATGCAGGAGCCGTGAGTGTGCTGTTCCTGAACGTGGTGTGGTCGTGGGTGCAGAGCCTAATCCTATTTAAGCCTGGGTTCCAAGACATGAGGTCGCTTTTTGCGGCTAGCTCCAGCCAAACGATACTCGAACTTGAACGTGGAGGGCACTGAAGGCGGTTCCGGCCGGGACAGGCAATTTCCTGGCTGCTCGACTTTGGACGTGATTGATTGATCGCGAGCCCCTGAAGGCTTTCTCGACACCCGCTGCTGAAGGCGGCAGCGCTTCGTTCTTCCTTTTTTCCCCCCATTCTCCCATTCTCAGTTCTTTTTTACTACGCCAATGCTTTGATACCCTTCATCGTCTTTCCAATCGTCGGGGTAGCGTTACAGTAACTGACCTTGATCAAGAGTCTCCAATAGCCTAGTTCAAACCTTACAAGGGGCCGCGTCAAAACAACGCTACGACGAAAACCAATCGTTTACCTTGGCCATACTTCAGCCCAATATTTCCTTTTCTCTCAATTTTTTTCCTTTCCATTCTCGCACATGGTTGGCGACCCAGATTTATATTCCGCCAGCACACCGACGCTGCCTCGCCGTCACCGTCGAGAGCCCCCCGATTTCATTCTTCCCCCGATTCGAAGAAAAGCGGCTTGAGCCACAATGCCGGGCCTCTTCTCCCGCCTTAAGGGCAGAGACAAGTCCAAGAAGGGCCAATCCGAACAATCTGGCGATCAGCAGCCGCAAAAGCCGCGGTGGGACGACGCGTGGACCCGTAAAACCATCGAGCCCGAAGAGGTGGTAGAGTTGATTCGCTTCTGTACCGAGGAGCTTAAGGCTCGAGGTATGACATCAAGCCTCCCTGCGCCTGCGCTTATCCTCCACCCCACCGGCTCGCTTGCGGCCCTGTAAAGTACCACAACGGTTTAGCTAACCCTATTGTTCCAGCACTCGATCACCCCTTCCTGCTGCTTCCGTTCCGCCCGACGTCCGATCCCAGCGCAGTCCGTACCTTTATACGGCACTTTTTTGACGGCAAGGATGGCGGCCAGCTGCTGCGTGGGGAGGCCTTGGCCCAGGAGCTGCGGATGACCGAGCCAATGGTACGATGTCGCCGTAATTTGCGTCATGCAAGCCGTGCTCGGGGCGCTGATTCGTGCTACAGGTTATCTCCGGAGTCATCAAATGGTGCTGGAGTAGACTCCAAGGCGGCGTCGTCAGCTGGGACTCCTACGAGCTCTTCAAGGTTGGAGAGCAGGGTATGCGCGCTCCTTGTTCTGGACGAAGACCGTGCGAGCACAACTGACGCTGCCTACAGATTCCAACATGGCCAGAGACTCGTTCAAGACTTTCATCCCGCTCAGTGTCGACAACAGTGCTAGGTCAAAGATCATCTTTGACTTCTTTGACCTGCTCGCCGCAATTGCGGCGCATAGCAAGACAAACGGGTTCGGCGGCCGCAAACTTTCACGCATGGCGGCTTGGTGGGCTTTCGAATTTGTTGACAATGGCACCGGGTTCGAAGGCGGTTACAAGACTTGGCTCAGGCAAGTTCACTGTCCTTGCCCCCTTCCGAGTCGACGAGATTTGCTGACAGATCTTGCGCAGTGCCGCCGACGCCACGAGCCATTTGTTTTTCGCCTACCTACGGTCCCTCGCCCCCGAGCCAACTCGTGGCGGCATTTCGCTGCTACCCATGTCTCTTCTGAAATTACTCCAGGAAACCGAATACCCGCCTCAGCGGCCGGCCCTTTTGCAGACATCAACCTATAGGGTTGCCATGATCGTCGACACTGTGTCACCGACTCCTTTTGCCCTCCTCCGACGGGCCAACCACTTCCAATACCGGGATGAGGATAAGGCGTTGAAGGAATGGTCCGAGTATGAGGACCCCATACAGGCTTTGACCGAAGAGTGCCGCAGAGTCCTGAGGGCAATCTCTGCCGCAAATCAGTCACAAGCTGTCTCTAGTTCAAAGCATTCCACGAGTCTTCGTGATGCATCATGGTCTAGATTCGAAGATATCGGTTTTACGGGTGTCCTGGAAGAGGACGAGATGGAAGATGAATCAGTGCTTGCTATACGACGACGGCAGCAGGGGCTGAGAAGCACACCAGCTTCAGGCAATGGGGACCTAGGTCGGCCGACCACGCCGTCATGGGCAGATTTCCTGTCATCGGGGTTTGTGGACGAGCGCGGCACGTCGAACCTCTTACTGCCGCCAGACAAAGTGCTCCCTCCGATTGAGACGACTGTGAGACAGCGAAGCTCCCAATCCCACAAGCCGAGATTGGAGAACGAGCACCAACTGGAACCCGGCGAATTAGCAAGCATCACGCGTTTCGATCTTGACGACGCATTCTGGTGGGTGTGGATGACCAGTTTGGGACCCGAAGAGACCCCCGAGAGGAAGTCGGTCTTTGGACGTTGCGCCGTGATTGAAACGATCATTCGGACAGGCCGCTGGCTGGTCATGGAGGAACTTGTCAAGGGGGCGGCACCGGATCCTGAGGAGGGCGCGTACATAGCAGAGAAAAAAGGCTTCTTCAGCTGGACCCGTCGGGGCAAAAGCAGCATCAACAGGCGCAAGTCGACCGGCAAGCACGCTCTTGAGAAGGGGGATGGCCACTTGAAGCCAAGCGGCACTATGAGTTTGAGTAGGACGAGCATTGGCCCTGACCAGCAAGCCAAAATCCAGGCCGCCGCGTTGCAGCTCCAGATGCAAGAGCAACAAAAGCACCAGCAACAGACGCAGGAGCGGCGTGGGCGGAAAGACACTGACTGGCTGAACGAGAAGACCAACAGCGTTCTTACACTTCAACCAAGCATCCTAAGCGAAGCATCGCCGGCAGTCAAGTGGGCTAACAAGTATGACAAAGAGGCAATACGAGAGGCTTACCTCGCTGATTCTAGTGCTGGTCGTGGCTTTGGGAGCGCTACACACACTAACGGGCACACCACCACCGTGCCGCCAGAGAGCGAACGCCGCCCGGATCTGCCTCCCAAGACGCACTCGTCGGCCACGCAGTCCGGCTCGACCACTGTGCCATCGTCGTCCTCGATCCCGCGCCGTGACGAAAGACCGAGAACGCCAAACCAAACCGAGAAGGGGCTGGAGGCGCCCAAGGAGCTCCATCCAGCGGAGCGCTTGTCGGAAACGGGGCGCAACTCGCCGCTGCCGCCACCAAAAGACCTGGTGAGCATGGAGGTGGCGCGGGATCAGATGGTCTCCCCTGAGCCCGATGCGAGTCCCGACAGTAAGAAGCAGCGGAAGCTCCATAAGGATGTTCCAAAGGCTAGCGGCGGTGGTGGCTTGAAGAAGCTATTCAGTCGTAAAAACAGGCAGTCAAAGCTGCCTGAAAACGCCCCGGAGCAACTCAGCTCAATTGCTGCCATAGAGGAGCAGCCTCCTGCTTCTACTATTTCTGCTCCGGCTCCGGCTCCGACTCCAGCTCCAGCTCCTGCTCGCGCGCCTTCGCCTGCCCCCGCTCCTGCCCCCGCTCCACCAGCTCTCCCTCAGAAAGCCGTGCAACGAGAACAGCCCAAGCCTGCGGCGCCGAAAGAAGAGCGGGTCGCCCCGCCATCTTCTCCGGCAGTTCCGACTCGGGTTCCCGTTCCCATTTCGTCTGCATCCCCGGTTTCTCCCGTTTCTCCCGCTTCTATCCGACCACCGGTGACTGTTGCTCCAGTCAAGCCAGCACCAGCACCGCCATCCCCTGAAGAACCCGCAAAGGACGAATTCTCCCGCTTTGACCAGGGTCCCCTTCTCGACCAGCCTGCTTTCGTTCCGGATGACGATGCCGATGATGTTGACGACGCAGTGCCGCCTCCTATCGCTAGGCACTCCCGCTCACCGCTCTCTTCGCCGAAGCCTAGTGAACAGGAAGCTGCGCCTCCACCGGCACCGGTGGCTCGCGCGGTAGACCCACAGGACCGATGGGCTCAAATTCGCAAGAACGCTGCAGAGCGAGCTGCCCAACGCCAGAACACCCGGCCGGTGGCGGGGATCTCAGGCCCGTCCAAGACTGCCGATGCAGATGACGACACCAGCGGAGAGGAGAGTGAGTGCTACCCGCAGCAGCTCATACTGACCCAAGTTAACATGTTTCATAGCTATCGAATCCCGTGTTGCCCGCATCAAGGCTAGAGTTGCAGAATTGACTGGGGGCGTGGAGGGCATGGGAGCATCAGGTGCCCGCTCGCCGCCAGCCCCTATCCGTCGGTGATCCCTGCTGGGCTGGTGATTGCCTGTGGATCCGAAATCAAACCGAGATTGACTCAACAACAACGGAAAAGACAACCGAAGACTTTCACGCCCCGGTTCCAATCGACCTTGTTTTCTTTGCTTCTCACAAGGGGCGCACCCGGCGCCTCCCGATTTATCTCGATGGCTTCCAGACTCGCAGTCGGCACTCGTAATATACCAACCACTCCTCGATTTCTTGATTTCTTACCTTTCGTCCTACCGACGCGTTTCGCAGGATTGTCATGTTGAATACTTTGCCTGCTACATTCGTCGCGTTGCCATATTTTGCTTCGCTTTTAGCTCCCGCCTGATGATACCACTAGAAAAGATTGCGGATCAGCCGGATATTGCAATGAAGACCTCTTTTTCTTGGCTATTATTTACTGCTTCTCGATGCGATATATGATGTGGTCCTTCTGTCTTGGTGTCTCCTATTGTCGACATGACGCTCAATAAGCAGCACTCCTTCGGCCGACACAACGCCCGCACCACATTCTCCAGTTGTTAAGATCCAGGGAAGACCGTGCTTTCCTGCTTGGGCATTAGACCCCTCTGCAACCGCGCCCTGAGATGGCACCAGGCGCCCGTAATATGTATACCGTCAAAACTGGAGCGGACGCCACTGCGCCATCAACAGTGAGTCAATCGAGAACCAGGAGCAGACGTTGCGGACATGGGAAGAGCACTGGCCGAGGTAGAGACAATGGCTAGTTTGCAACATCCCGTGAACTCTTACATTTCAGGTGAATTGTTCACGGCAGAGCATAGAAAACGCTCTTGAATTGTACAACTCCCACCTCATCATCCCAAAACCATCCTACACTGCACAAGCATCATTCTATCTTTACTATTTTGTGAGCCGGGAGAATTTTCCTCTGCAACGCTCACCATATGTATGTGTAGATGGATGTTACATGTATGTAAGCGACTCTCAGCTGGCCAGGAGGGAGGAAATAGTGTTTTACAATGCCCGCCTTTCCGAACCGCTCTGGAGAAAGAGGGAAGCAAATCAAAACGCCAAACATGCTGTTTCTAGGTAGAGATTACCCGGCCAGAACACGAGATGCAGTGGATACAGATGAAGATTAGAATTTTACAGGCGTAAAATGGGAAGAAAAGAGCGCCTGGCTCAGGGCTCGCGCCCATGCCCATGCTCACGCTGATGCTGCATCTCCCTGAGCAGCGCCCGCTCGTTGACGCCGCGGAACACGCGCTTGCCCACCTCGTAGCTGCTGATCATGATGGCGCACGCGGGGGCAACCCTCAGGGTGCGGGGAATCCAGCCCCTGAACAGGCCGGGGATGCCCTCGGTGCGAAAGATGTGCCACAGCAGGCGGGCCATGTTCTGCTCCTCGGCGGCCACGGAAGCCGCCGCCTTTCCCGCTCCCCGCGCCGCCGCTGCCGTTGTTGTCGAAGCCGCCGGCGGAGCCGTCTTGGTGCTGGTATCCCGAAACACCTGCGTCCTCGTTTTGCCAACGTCAAAGGGCATCGTCACGATACTCGCGAACCCGCCGGACGCGGCGCCGGCGATGAAGCTGTCGGTAAAGGTTTCGGCGTGCTTCTCCCTGCTCTGGGAGCGGCGGCGCGCACGCACCCTGTCGTCTCCGGAGCGGTCCAACAACTCCAAACCCCTGCCGCGAGCCCGTTCGCGCGCGTCCGTCAGCCGGCCCCGGATCGTCTCGTACCCCCACCAGTACATGCCGCTGAAGGGCACGTCGCGCCAGAGGGTGAGGGTGAGCCCCCGCCAAAGCGAGCGGTAGCCGTGCGCGCCCACCATGTCCTGCACGCTGCGGAACGTCTCGGCCAGGTGGCCCCCCGGCCCCGTGGCGTGGCCCTGCGCGGCCTGCAGGCGCGTGCGGAACAGCTCGATGGGGGATACCGCCGTGGCCGCCAGCACGCGCGCCACCGAGCCGGCGATCAGGGGCGCATACTCGTCGCGCACGGCGCGCTGCCTGACGATGGGCGAGTTGTGGTGGTACCGCAGCCAGTCGTATCCCGTGAAATAGATTATGTTGGCGGGTATGGCCATTATCAGCGTCGGGGACAGCCCGCGCCAGAGAGTCAGCAGGCCTTCGTTGCGCGCGATTTTGCGCAGGCCGTCAAAAGTTGAGTTGAAGGTCCGCTGCTGGGTCTGTTCGACGGCGCAGGCAATCGGGGAGGGGTTGAGGGAGTTGTTGGTGAGCGTTGTTGCAGGGGCGGAGGTGTTGTTGAGGGAGATGCGCGGGCCCACGATGCAAACGTCCGAGGTGTTGTTCATGAAGAAGACTTCGCGGCAGCAGGCTGTTACGCCTAGTTCAGAGGGACGGAACGCATTCGGGGTGGACAAGGCGACTTTGGAGAGCTCGGCGGGATTGATGGCAGGCTGCTGTGCCGAGAGAATGCCCTGAGACTGCCATCGGACGCGGACAACATCGAGAGGGGTAGCTATAGGATGCGGGAAGTTAGATATTTGCTATCCATGGATAGGAGCGGAGAGACGCCATACCGAGAAGACCAGTCAACAAGCTCCCCGATGTCGCCGAGAGCATCTTCTGGACGGCCGTGATATCAGCCGGGTCGCTGGGGAGGTCGTCGGGAGCGCTCGGCGGGACATGGCGGTCTATTCTGTCATGGTTCTGGCCAGCGCCGGATGTGTTCTGCGCGGTCGCGGTGAATGGAGCCATCTGGTAGTTGAGATCAAGAAGGTGCCTTCATGACCGACAGCAGAAATTTCTGTCTTTAAGTCTTGCGAGGAGGAAATATGACCGTTTTCGGGAAGTCGTCGAATGACGCCGCCAGTCCATACACCACACAAGGTGTGGAGCTGGAAGCGTTTTTGAACCGTCGGTGCACGATAGAACCCACAGTCAAGAAAGGGTAGAATTCTAGTGGCAGAGATTGGCGTTGTGGCCGGCTTATGTGTGAGTCGCCGTGCTGTGTAATCGCACGTCTGGAAGAGATCCGAGCCGGAGGATCGGATTTTACGCCCCAATTGACAATGCGGGCAAAGTTCAAAATCCCGGCGTCATCGAAAAGAAGCTTCTCGACCCCGGTCCGATGACCCACAAAAGAAAGTGGAGAGCGAAGAGGTGGGCCAAAAAGCAAAGAGTGGCATGATGACATCTGAGGATATCTTATCAATCCATCCTATCTTATCATCACATGAGCGTCCCTGGCAGGGGCCCTGGATAAGGATTAAGGAATGACTTAATGCCAAGACTATGTGGTCAAAGCTCCATCGTCCCGTCTGCATCTCCAACTGCCGGTGCTTCTTCCCCAGAATCATGCAAATTCCCTGTCCATCAAATAAAGTATTGTACTGCATCGTCCTCCATGTATTCTCTCCCGCACGGCGACGTAAGCTTCATCAATACTCACACGACAAGGGCTTAAGAACGTGCGGCAGGCGGACTTCCGGCAGTGCATGTTGATTATCAGGAGCCGAATTCCGAAATGGCGGTAACAGACTGATCTCAGTCGCCTGCCCTGTTGTTATAGAGAAACTGTTGGATGTAACACTTGCACCTCACACACAAGAAGCATATAAGAGCAGAACAATTTGAAGACTGCCGTGATGTGATTATTAGGCGGCCGACATGCAAAACGCCTCTCCATATGTCCATGTATACATGTGTATTTCATCCCCTCTAGGAATGTTGAGGAGGTAAAGTGTGCACCCTTGTTGCTTGGCGACTATCACCGCATCGCATCTACTCAGCTTCCCATCCCATGAAATATATCGGTACAATCCTATGTTGAACACTACGAAACTCGAAAAAGACAGGCTTTTCTTCTCGTAATCCACACCGAATATGCTGCAACAAATGAAATGTAATGCATGACTATGCTGTGGGAGAATGTCTTCTGGGTGATAAGGTATGAAACTGAGACCGAGTTGAGCAACAGAAGCCAAGAAGAAGAACCACCAGAGTCCAGTGGCTATGCCTTGGCACTGCTTGAAGCTCTCCTTTGGCAAGAAAATGTAAAGAAAGCAGGCGTGTGTAACAAAGGAAACCCAATGTGCACCTCCACTGCTTCGCTCTGAGCCAAAACTATCCCGACCCTCTCCCTTCAGTGTCAATGGAGCTTCTCCTTCAGGTACACCACCGCCGCATAACCGGCACAGCAATTTCTGCTCATGTTGTGATGGCACCATGGGCACTTGACCATGGTTGTAATAGCACCCGAAATCCCTAGCGCCCTATCCTCCACCACCGCGTCTGGCTTGGCCATGCATTCATAAATCTTGGACGGCATGTCATGGTAGAATTTGCAGTTGCAGCACTCCACAAACATCTTGGCAATCGGGGCCATGCGCGTCTCTGCCGCCGCAGCTGGTGGCCGGACCGAGAGACCCGCCTGCAACTGCATGTGTTTTGGAATCGCTGAAAGGACAGGCGCCTTGGGTGTCGTCGCCGCCGGCTCGACCGTCGCGTTCTTTGGCTGCTTGAGTATTGACACTGGTACTATTCCGCCATGTCGACCGGCCGGCGTGGATGCTCTTGGTGAACTCGTTGCCGATGATTGCATCCGAGGCTGTGGCGAAGGGTTCGAAGCTGCACGAGACACTGGGCTGGCCAGAGGAGACGGCGATCCGGCAGACGTTGAAATCTCGGGAAACGTAGCCTGATCCTTGGCTGGCTCTGAAAATTCCGCAAGATAAGGATTGCTGGGGAGTTGGAAATCTGCAGGTGATCTTGGACCGGAAGAGAGAACGTTCGAACTCGTCGAGGAGATTGAGCCAGATGTCCAGTTGCGGTGCATATGGCCATCGGAAGTCTGTTGAACCTCGTCCCTCCGTCCGGCCCACTCTGATTCCGCCTCGATATCCGGCTTTCTTGATTCCGTCTGTCTTTGGTGATATTGTCTCTTATGCTTTTCTTCCTTTACCTCCTTCATCTTAACGTTCACCTGTTCAAGGGATACCGCACTATCGCTCAATGATCTTGAGCAACCCAAGCGCTCATCAATGTGCCTATCATCTCCATCCACACCTGGCCTCACGGTCGGTGTCTGAGCCAGTCTATCCCCTTCGCCGGCAACCCCAAGTCCTTCATAAGTATTTTCAATGTCCCCGCCTGCCTGCACAATTGGGGAAGAAGCTTCCTTCGGGCTTCCCATCGGGCCGTTAGGCTTAGCATGACCCCGTTTCTTGGATCGCGGCGGTACCATAAGGACAGTGTCAGTGTTAGAGCGACTGAGGCCGTGATTCTCAAACGGTTTGCGCGGCTGCGGGTGCTGCACCGCCGTAGGGAAGGTTTCGCAGATGGGCTGCTGGGTCGTCTTGGGGGAAGCCGGCGGGTAGTTTGGCAACCACTGATCGGCAGCGTCCAAGCTGCCAATGTTTGGCTCTGAAGTCGTTGGCGATTGAGGGTCAGCGTCAATATCAATTGGCAAGGCTGTCCTACTCCATCGGTCTTGATCATCCATCTCCACGCCCTCGCGTACTTCGGCATCAACCAGGCGAGGAGTGCTCGATTTGCTGGAATCGAGAGAAGCCCGAAGTGTGCGTTCGTCATCTTGCAGGCCGGAACGCTGAGGCAGGTCTTTTCGGGGCTCACTTGCAGCCAAAGGAATGTCTTTTGCTGATTGTGGCCGTGAAGTGTCCGGAGTTGTGGCCGGTGACGGAAGTGCCGATCCGTCTTCAAAGGCGGATGATGACGAAGAAGCCTCTGAAGCCCGGCACCCTTCCGGAGCCCTTGTCTCGGTTGTCTTGACTGGGTCGGGAACCGCGGGGGTCACCATGGGACTCTGGATTCCATTAGAAATTTATCACACCGGGCTATGAGGGTGTTGTGGGGATATTTACCGAGAATCCCTCTGGGGCTCTGTCGGTGGCCAGCTGCACCTTGCCGCCCTCTGCATGAGTTTGCGCACGGGAATGCATCAGAGCTCGCAGTTTCAAGTAAGGTGGCGCTGACACAGACTTTTTGGACACTTCTGGCTGGTCCCGAGAACTCTTGGACATGCTTAGAGCGGCCATCGCGGCACCCTTCATGTTACGAGCCTTCTTGCTGTTGTGGCTGGAAAACGGGCCGGCAACTGACGGATCTGATGAACTGGCAGAATTTTGGGACGTGGGTGGCCTGACAAGGGCGTTCTCATCCAATCCACGAGTATTGTGTGATGAAGCAGCAACCGCGGCCAAAGGATGTGAGTCGACATGTGTCTGCGTCGTCGGCCCATCCCGACTCCTGGGTAATGTAGGCATATTCCCCATCGACGGCGTAATTTCTGAGCCGGAGGCGGAATACGGGACGGCTTTGAAGGTAAAGTAATCGTTCTGGGTGCTCGAACTGGTACTTTTCACAATATCATCACTCACTGCGGGAGTCCCTCTCATGCCTACGAGCTTCATTGCGGCGAATTTTGCTTCTTGCGTCAGGGAAAGCCGTCTCGGTTCTTGATCCTGCTGAGAGCTGCTCCTTGGGGGGTAGACCTGGCCAAGATTTCCAACAAGTTGCTCATCCGCAAGCGCAGCCATTGCCCGTTCCTGGCTCTGCGCCCTTTGATAGTGAACGTACCCCTCCCGGCGAGCTCCATTTGTGAGCATTGGGGTCCTCGAGGCGGACGGCGGGCGTGCATCTCGGAAAGATCGCACTTCCGGCCTGCATGCGAAAGATGGAGGTATGGCCTGTGCTCTGAAGGTTTTCTCCGTTTCCCCATTCAGCTTCTTGCCGCTCCCAGACGGTTCCATTTTAGATCTGGGGCCGGAGAGGACTTCGGGAACAGCATGGCGATGTCGCCAGTTCTGTTGCAGGTCGTCGGCCGAGGCCGCCCTTCCAACATCCTCAGGCCTGTGAATGGCCTGGCTGGCTTCTAGAAGATGCTGGTTGGTGAGCAACGGGTCTGACATTGAGCGGTCCGCGTTTGTTATACCACTAGGCCTCGGGTCGTAACTGGCAGTTCTCGGCGGCGGCGGCGGCGGAGGCTTGCTCAGTCTGGTAGTATTCCGTTTTTTAGCCGCTTTGGCTTCCTTCTCAGTCCGCTCCTTTTCTCGTTTGCGGCGCTCGGCCTCCAACTTCTTTTCCTTCTTTCTCTGGCCGTAGCCTTCCCAACTCGGCGACTGACATATTGATGATTGCTCTGACATGGCTTCGTCCTCCTCCTCATCTTCGTCGACCTCCTGGTCCTGACCGTCCTCTGGCGCGAGGAACTTTACTTGCTTGTGCAATACCTCGCTATTCGTGGGAGTGCCAAGACCAGCATGCTTTTCACCCTGTTGCTCTTCCTCTCCGTCGCTGAAGTGGTCCCCTTTATCGTAGTCTGTGGCCGGGGGGATGGTAATGGAAAGAGAAGGTACGATAACACTCCTCTGCGCAATTCTCAGCATTAGATAATTTTGCTCCTGGGACAGATGGTCAGGACGAGGCGGCCGAGGGGGAGGCCCGTCTTTCTGTTCGGTGGAAGACCGAGAGGGCGGGGGAAGTAGTTGTTGAGTCCCACGCAATCGCTCCATCTGTCGGGATGCAGACGCAGGTTAGAGACACACGTCAGTGTAAGACAAGCGACGACAAAGACATGCAGCGACCCAGCAAGGGGGGTAGCAAGAGGGCCACCACGCACCTTGTATTTTTTCTCCAGCTCCAACATGCGCTGGAAGCTGCTAGATGTGAGGAGCTCCTCAGTCCTCTGCTGGACCTCAGCCATGGCTGACTTGGGCAGGCACCCGACGCCGTATGGAGAGAATAGGATGTCCATGGCGACGGGGGTCAGGGGTTAGATAAAGAACAGCGTCCACAACACAGAGGAGAGAGATTCGGGAGGACCGGGGAAGCAGAGGAGAGGTATTGTAGGGATCAAGTGGGCCAAAGGCGCAGCGAAGCGAGAGTATGGCATGGGCATTTGGAGAGGAGTGGTTGGACGCGAGGTAAACACTGTAAGCTGTAAGTAGATAGGGCAAGGGGGGAGCCTTGAGGAAGCTGTACCTGCGGTCTGTGGTGTGACCCCTTGCTGGCAAAGCTGGATCTGGGACAGAGCCCACTGACTATGAGCTGCCGCAAGTGAGGGAGCAATGTCTGAAATTTGGCGCGCGTAGCCGCAGCTGCTTGGGTGAATGCAAGATGTCCGGGGCCACGGATAAAATGCCTTGCCTCCGTTCGCTCTTCATCCGGTGGCGAGCGGACCTGACCTGCAGAGTCGCACTCCTGCCTGGGAATCAACACGGGTATTATTACAATGGACTGTCCCGCGGGAGGTGGGATTCTCGGGATCAGCTCCCTCGTTGGAGGGATGAGGAAAGAAATGAAGTCGGGGTATTTTTTCCCCTTTGTGCCCAACCCGTGGTTGTTTGCGTAACCTGCTTTTAGTCCCAGTCACAGCAACGGAGCACATCATCTCTCAGACCAGAAGAGACCGATGCCTACCAGGCTGTCCGAGCTAGTGGTCCTGCTGCACTGCCGTATGACTATGCAGATGCGCGAAAAAAGAAGAAATAAAATAAAATGAGATAAAAATGAGAACACGCAAGACAAGACCGGGCAAGGATGATGCACTGGCATCTTGCCGCCGCTTGTCGTGGAGGCAGCAGAGCACGACACGAGAAACAGAGACAAGGCTGGCGTGGGCATTCGGCCATTCACCGCTTCAGCTCCACGGCGGCAAAATGAATACTCGGCTTGCTGGACACGGCGTGCTGCAGCCATGTACTCAAAGCGGGCAGGTCTTGTGCTGCTATTTTGTTCGTCTGAGGTTCCACAACCCGAGATGTCGAGTGTGGTGGTGACACAGATCCAAACAGCCTCGTGTAGGTGTTCGGGCGGGCAAAATAATTAACGAAAACAGGCCGAGCACAAAACGGGGAAGGTGTGCTCGGTCGCAGTTGAAGACAGGTAACGTCGGGTGCGGTAGATACATTCGAGGTTGTCCTGTCCCTGGCGTTGAACTTCCTGACGGCTTTCATGCGCAAAACGCAAAATGCGTGCCAGACGACCTCTGCATCTTCGAAATTCCATAGGGAAAGGGCATAAACGATAGGAGGTCGGCGGTTGCACGTCAGGAGAACCAAGATGCCCGTCAAAGAGGCGTTGCCAGGCGCCCGGACCCCTGCAGCCACCCAAATGGAAGGAGAGAGCCACAACGAGGGTGTGCCCCCTGGCAAGAGCCAGGGTTTCTTGGAACACTTGGCATTTTTCCCCCCAACACCAAGACGTCCATCCTCACCAAACGTCAGCTCAACGTTGGCCTTGACGAGCAGCTCAACATCTTCCCTCCGAGCCCTGCTGCTGCAATGCCCATGGAGCTCGTTTTTACCTATTCGAAGTTCCTGGATCTTGAGATAAGCACGAATTGATTGAGCCCTCGAGGCTCCTGCCCAGCCAAATGTAGTAGGTAAGGTTCACCACAGTACCACTGCAAGGCTTATTGTACATACATGCGAGTTCCATCCTCTTCGCAGCAGATCAGGCACATTCACGCTAAGGTACTGCCATATTGTGCACATGAGCCTCCGGTCGATCTCGATTTCCAGCCCCTGGGCAACAAAAACATCGTCACCATTGCAACTCCTCCGATCTGCCGCATCGTGCGCCCGTGGTCGTATGCACCCCTGACCTCCGGAGATCGGTTCTTGGTAACTGTGCCCTCGCTCGTTCTTGGATGTTGCTTGTTTGCGCTTGACTCTACGGAACCGGCCTGGGCATCGGCTCGGCGTGCATCGTCTTGGTGTCTGGGCAAGCGCTCCATTGAGGCTCACTTGTCCAGGGCGTGCAACTCGCCAATGCCACTCTGTGATACCACGCAGGTTGTCCATGGTGGTTCGGGATTCCGCCAAAGGCCGCCGAAACCGCCACGCTCGTTGATTTTCCTGGTCGAAGAACGCAAACCATATTACCCAGCCAATTTTCCCCGTACGCATCGGACTGTTTCCCCGCCGCACCTAGCATCCCGGCCCCTTAGAATGGCGCCTCTTCCCGCTCAGAGCAATATTAAATATTCATAGATTGAGCATTACGCGTTCCTCAGTCTTCTTTCGCTTCCACCCCGCCTCTCGCCATCGTCTCAACCACCCCGTTCCTCCTCTCGCCTGTTATTTTCTTCTCCCTCCATGATCTGCCGCCCGAGCATGAGGGTCTGGATGCGAACGCCATTGGCCCTGCCGCCCTGCCCGACCCCGTGGGGAATACCCGCGCTGCTATTCTTGACTTATTTGACCAGTTAATATGAACGGCCTAGCCGGCAGTCGGCAAACATGCATGGCATCAGCACACTGCTTAGTTCTGCCAGTTTCTTACACCTGTCGACCTCAGCGGATTTCCTTTCTCAGCGCCGAGACATGCCCGTCTATGTGCAAAGAAGGGTCCCATCATATACCTGATCGAGACATTGCTTCCGCTGACCATGTTGCTTACACAGCAGGCATTAGCTCACGCGAGGCTTGACACCGACGGTGCGCCTGCTGCTCAATCACTGCTGGCGGATATTCAGGCTGGTTGTTCGGTCGACCGGGATCTACGTCCAGCCAGGAAAAAGAGTTCAACTTGGAAAATGGGACCTTGCAGGCTACGTAGTCGAGTCAGACATCCAGCCATTCCGTCTCATGTACTGATCAACAAGATCACGGCCCGGTGATTGATGACACCAAATCTCGTTTCCAGCACCCCAGTTTACCAGCCCTTTCATTGGCCTCCCGGATGCGTCCGTTGGTACCCTAAATCCGTTTCTAAGCCGCAGCGAGAACTCGTTGGGGATCTTTAGCCGGGCCGCGACCCGTTTGTCGTCAGGTCGGTGATCAGACAAAACCTTGGTTTCGGAGTCGGCGTTGGTCAGCAGCTGCTCGTCGGCCCACGCCCTGGTAAACCGGGTCTGCTGCCTCGGCAGAACGACTTTCAGGAACTCAAGTGCCGAATGCACTGTCAGGGATATGGCGCGCTTAGGATTCACGATTGTCTTCATAAGCAACGACATCCAATTTGGATAAAGCACAGCCAAGTCGGTTTGCGACAAGTGTGTCGATCCTCTGATCGTCGTCATCCAGCAAAGCGCTCCTGCCGCCCGTGCCTCCTGGCATATTTGCTCGACCCGGTCGAAATTTTCCGTCCAGTGCATAAACGCCTCGCTTCCGATGGACAATACCGGCTTCCGTACCGCTTCTTTCTCGGTACGTTCCGGGGTTGCGGGGCCCCACGCGTCAAGCAGAATGCCCTGGGTGATCCAGGTAAATCTTTTCTCGGACCTGAGAGCCGCTACTGCGGTCGCTGCGCCAAAGGAATGGCCCATTATGGTGACGCTTGCTAGGTCGAGCCGTTCTGACCAATCTCGCCAGTCGACGCCGTTGAGGCCCATCGAACAGGAACCCACGTTGCTACCCTGGCGAAGATTCTGGATGTGCACTTGGTCTCCCTTTCCGCAGTTTATCAAGTCCAGGATGTAAAACGCCTCCTCGATTTCGGCTAGCCTCATCTCGATTTGCGCCGCCCGCAATTCCGTGTCGACACCACGGGCATTGTTCGGCCGTGTGTCTCTCGCATTGTCTTTGGGGAACAGGTAGTCAACCCTATAGTATGGGCTCGAGTCTTCTCTTTTGTGCTTTGTGATTGGCTTTTGCTCCTTTCCCGGCGGTTCTGCGGTTCGCAACGAATCCTGACTCTCTGACTTTTCCCATTGCACCGGCCCCGTCGTGTTGCCCTTGTTGTTGTCGCTGCAGTTGACGTAGGTCCTTGCTCCGCTCCCGTCGCGGTGCTCCATGGCGACTACCACGATCCCGAAGCTGGCGAGTTCCCCGCAGATGGAGCTGTACATTGTACGCGATCCGCCCAAGCCGTGGCTGAAGATGACAACGGGGAAACTTGGCTTGTGCTTATCGCCCCCGTCACCTTCTCCTAGCTCGCCTTCTTCTTGGCTGTCCACAAGTGTGGCGTCGTCTTCCTGCTCAACGGTAGGCCACTGGGAGGATAACCAGGCGTTGCGGTGCGCCGGCAGCTTGGTGAACATGCTTGTCAGCGCAAGGTAGGTTGTCACGGGCCAATGGGGCACGTTGGAGAAGCGGGCGAAACCCTTGCAGGTTGAGACGCGCGGGCGAGGGAGCCAAAGCGGACGGGAGTGTGAACTCCTTCCTGTCCTCCAGCTTCGCGGATGGTCATGATGCCGACTTTCACGGCTCCATCCGCAGTGGAACTTGGAGTTCGCCTCTTCCCCGTCTCCTCTCCTTCGGTGCTGCTGTTGAGGCCCGGACACAGGGTCGCGATCGCAGGGGTAGTACACGGCGAAAAGCACCGTGTCTAGTCTGAGGGCGTACTGGTTATTCCGCTTGATATGAGAGAAATGCCGAGGCTCGCGGACCGGCAGCTCCAGCTCGAGAAAGCCGACGCTGTAAGAACCTGTGTAAGGGGGGAGGGCGTGTTGGAGGCGGTCGCGGAGGGTTTTGGAAGATGAAGATGGCGACATTCTTGAAATTGAAATAATAAAAACCAACGACACTTCTATGGAAAGAATATACGCCAGGTTAGGTTCGGCGATGGTCTAGAACTGTCGTGGGTGGTTAGGTGAAGCGGGAGTTTATGTGTACCTTAAGGTAATAAGCGGTTGCGCCCTTGTAGGGAAAGGAATGACTGCAACCGGAGGCTCAACACGTCTCTTTACACGTACGTTAACTGGTAATTATCCAGGAATGTGTTGGGTACTGTGTTCTTTCAGTGAGGCACGCGACCATCTAGATCTACAAATAGTGTACGCAGCGCCCCTGGCGCTGTCACTGCAGGAGTTCAGGAACCGATGATGTCATTTGCATGGCGGCGCCGATCCTGTCCTGGCGTTTAAGTTGGCGTTCGATGATGGCAACAATACTACCTGAAATACACGTGTATACTACCTATCCTATCAATGAGATGAAATGCCAGTGCAGACTTTTTTTCCCACCTCATAATGATGTGCATTGGGTCGGTGACGTGAGCTCGATCAAGGGGAGCATGGAGTCAGATTCGGCATGGGTTGTACTGACGGATTACGGATAGGTATGTATTCTACGGTTTACGTAGTAGTAACCTTCCAACCTACGTACCCGGACTTGTGTTCCGTATGGAAGAATAACAGCAATACTATGTGATCAAGAATGAACTGCTTGTTGCAGCGGTGATATGGGAGTTTTACGAGTCGAGGTAACCGAAACTTCTCCATCAGTTGATCGGAGCAATTAAATGGCGCCGTGGCAGCTGTTCCAACTTTCAACTTCGAAAGTTTGAGTTTGATTCTGGATGGCTTCTGCTTGACGAATGATACTAGTACCTACTATGTAGGTAGGACCTTCCCAGACTACTGTCCCTGCTCAAATCTCTCTTTCTAAGGTGGCCGGTACGACTCCATGCCCTCATCAAACCCGAGTCATCCTGTATTGCTCCGACTCTGATGTCCTAACTTCAAGGAGGATCTGAATCTGGTATCCAGACAATGGACTTCATTCAGTGATTTCAATCCGAGTCGAATCAATGAATACAGTATTTCAAAAAACCGAACTACTTAGCCATCGACATGAGGTATTGCATTGCTTCCTCTACTGATTACGATATAGAGAGACATAATACACCTATAGTAAGTATGCCACAAAAAGGGCACAGAATTCAAAGCCATGTCTCCTTGGCAGACTCAGCAAACTCCCTAAAGGTTTTGGGCCTGTCACCCGTCACAGCCAAGACCACGTCGTTTGTCCGGTTCTCGGCACCGAACTTGATGGCAGTATCCATGGCGCTCATCATTTTTGCATATTCTGCAGCCATCCCAAAGCTTTGGTGGCGCTCCTCGAGGCCCTCGGCTGAAAGGTCGACGTGTACGATCTTCTTCCCCAAGACATCGGTGAGAATGTCTGCGATCTACAAAGGGGCGTTAGCATGGTTGAGCATAATATTGCTGTCACATGGGTTAACCGACCTCGCCATACGAGAGTAGCTCAGGTCCCAGGACTAGATACTCGGTGTTGGGTGGTTCCGGGCTAGTGAGGGCTCGCGCCGCTACCGCAGCAATGTCGTCACTTGACACCCACGGAATCTTGCCGTCACCAGTCGCCGAGTAGACTTTACCCTCCTCCTTGATGGATCGGTAGTGGTTTGGCTGGTCTGCAAAGTTTTCTATAGAGGGGTCCAACGGTCAGTCTCAGCAACAGAGAACCTTAGGTTGCTGGAGATTGATCTAGTACATACCCTGAAACCAGGTTGGCCTGAGAACAGCCCAGTCCACCTCTCCACGCTGTCCTAGCTCTATAAGATACGAATGTACCTTGCCCATGGCCGGCCCGCCGGGCTCGATGGATGATGCGCTCTGCAGCACGAACCGGCGCACCCCTCGCTCGCGCGCAAAGTCGATGAACTCGTTCATGATCTTGTCGGCGTCCAACGAGGGCGGGGCTATGAGATAGACGGCACCAATTGGCGATGCGGCCGTGGCAAAGGGCTTCTCCCATGTCTCGCGATTGTGCCAGTCAAAGGCGACCGGAACACCGTGGCCATTGCCTGTACCGCGCCGGGAGGCGACGAGGATGGGCTGTTGAGAGGCTGAGAGCTGGCGCGCCAGACGGCTGCCCACCTTGCCGGTGCCGCCCAGAATGAGGATCGAGGGTGTCATGTTATGATGTTGATAACTTGATTGTTGAATGTTGGTTGGGCTGGTCTAGTTAAAGATTATGATTATGACCGACTCCAAGGACTGGGTACAGTGGGTATATTCGAAATTGATACCTAGAGATGACAGACGCACGGCATGGCGGGCGATCAGCTGTTACGGGTCTATATGACTTCGTCGCCGGTGACGGAACGGCGTAATGAATTTCAATTGATATCATAAGCGCCCAACGGACTCGGAGGGTTTGATGTTATCACTCCACTGTACTACTACCTTGCTGAAGAACACTAACGGTCACTACTGCAAAGTACTTTATGGGCTTCGGACTCTGACTAATCACATATCACCATCTGCCACACGTTTGCGTTTAAGCCTCAGCTTCGTGAAGCATCTATGGGCCCATTTGGCGCCGGATAGGTAAGTCCGGCCCGGCGATACGGAGTTATTCGGTCGTATCGCGTTTGACTGCTTGGCATCCATGATATCAGTTCAGATTTCAGAAGTAGCATCAGCTATCAGGATGTGTTATAAATGTCCATCCATGATCCGAGTCTGCGACGACTTCTTTTATCATCAATCTCTTGACTCTACATAACTGCCAAGTTGCTACTAGTAGCTACTGCCCCAACAACTGAAGTCCAAAATTCCTTTTCACGAGCTCAACGCAAAAATGGCTTCGTCATACGACATCACCCAGTATCTCCTCGACAAGTCAAACATTCACGACACAGTCATCAAAGTGGTATGAAAACTTGAAGACACACACCCCAACCCTGAGGACATACTTTGGTAGTCCAGACATCATGACATGCAATCACCAAGCTAACACGCATCTTCAACAGCCCCTCTACTACGACACGCGGAACATCGAAGGTTGCAGAAACGAAGTCTATGCCCCCGAGATCCTGGTCGACTACACATCACTGCTTGGCGGAGAACCCTTCACCGTCTCACGGGACGAGTGGGTCGACCGAATCGATGCCATCATGAAGGGCTTTGAAACCTGTCAACACATCACCTCGTAAGTCTGATATTCCCGACTGAAATTATTTTGATACTACTAGTACTACAGCATGATTCATCTAACCTTCGATCCAGGAGTGTCGTCGTCGATCTTCCACAGCCTACCCCGAACGCAACACGTCCGGATAAAGCGAGCGTTCTCGCCCAAGTGAACGGCAACCTGATCGGCAAGGGCTCTCCTGATATGACAATGAACGGTGTAAGTTATCTATAGTCTCTAAGAGTCTAAGTTGCCTTCGATGAGCCCGACTTACAGATTGGTTAACACTTGTTAGGGTATGCTTGAGGCCGAGCTTACACGATTTCCGGACCTCGAGAAACAGGGGCTCAACCCCTGGCGCATCTCAAAATACAAAGTAATTAAGCGCTGGGAGACTGGGAATGCAGCTGTTTTGGATCACGCAAAGAAAAATATATAAGCATGAGCGTCTCGAAAACGGAGCCTGAGCGTGGAGAAGAGGGTTACTGATATCATGATGACGGTCTGCCACCGGCTAGGTACTGATTCGATAGCCATTTGCAGCGGTTACTTAATCTGTACTTCCAACAGATATGAAATCATTGCGAAATTCAAATAAATGTCAACTTGGAAGTCTTGAGAACCCCACAGAATCGCTCATATCATGACCTGTATGCCAAAATCAACGGTCTATCCCAAGCAGCCCCAAGTAGGTAGTCAGTTAGTGCCTCACCGCGTCCGCGACGGCCCTGCACCACCCTGGCCACCCATCTTGGAATATTCCAACGCCCTCCTCAGTTCCTCATCATCCTCCTCTTGCGGCTCCTGCTGTTGCTCGCCTGGCTCCTGTCTAGCAACACCCTTGCCCTTCCAAGCAGCCCGCCGATATTCCTCCTCAGCCAGGCTCTGCCGCATGACATATTGCAGTACGATCTCCTCCTCTGTCTTTTGACGCTGCAAGTTCTCCTCACGGCTGCGGTGCTCGCGTTCCGACTCCTCAATTGCGCGACGCAGCTGTTCCTCTTCATCATCGGCGCCGCCCTGGGTGGGGGGAATGGTAGCAGGGCCGGCGCTGGGAATGTCCACAGGCAGCTCAAATACAGGTTGTGCCGTGGCCGTTGTTGCCGTTGCCGTTGTGGTTGAAATTGGGCTCAGTCCAGCTGATGGATTGGCCAGCATCTCCCCCCATTGCTCTTGCTCCTCCTCCTGCTGCTGCTCCAGCAGACTGCGCCGCACCGCCTCCTCGATCAGTGCCTGGTACTCCTCGTCGGTGATATGCTTTAAATCCTCATCTTCGGGAGGTACTTCTCCAAGGTGCATTTGAGAGCCATCACCTGCGTGAGGTTCCGGTATCATCTGAGGAAGCACCTTGCGATCAGGCTCCCACGCGACCTGGCCGCTATCGCTGCCTGGTCCAGTTGCGCTGCGCAGCGCCCTCACGCTCGCCCTGATGGCGGCCTCCACCCGCGCATCTTCTTCCCTATCTCCCCTCGACGTCTGCGCAACTGATTCCAGGATGGCACTCTCGAGGGCCTCATCGTCGTCAAGCGGGAAGTAGCTTGAGGAGTCGGAGCTAGCGGTAGCAGGCGGACGGAGAGGGATATTTGCTTCCGCGCTCATAGCAGCCGTACTAGTTGTATCAGTAGCACCCACAACACTGCCCTGACCACTCCTCCCACGGAACCACCTTGGTCTTCCAGCGGACGCACGTTCCACTTCCTCAGAAGCACCAATATTCCCTCTCCGCTCCTCCACGCCCCCTAGACCGTCATCAACCTCTTTCTTCTTCTGCTCCTTCTGCTTCTCCTTCAAAGACCAAAATCCCTTCAACTGCTCCCTGATGTCCCGCGCCTGCCATCTAGCCAAGATATTCCGCCTCTCCTCCGCCGTGGAGCCAGCATAGAAATCCTCCTCGCCCTGCTTGACCCTTGAGGCGAGGATATACTCGCCCTCGGCACGTTTGAACAGCCCTCTCATCTCAACAGTGATACCCTGGGAGACATACGCGGGGAGGGCCCAGATGCCCGCCGCAGGCTTAAGGGCCAAGCCGGCAATACCCTTTCCAATGCCTTTGAGCAGGCCCCTGCCACCCTCCTTCTCGGCGCCCTTCATCGGCTGGGTGACCAAACCCGCCAGGCCGTCGTAGAAACCCAGGCCAAACTCCTTACCGGCGACCTTGACGCCACTCGCGAATCCGGTCACCTTCTCGGTTGGGCGCACCGTGTCGTCATTGTACAGCTTCGGCGCGTTGCGAAACCCGCGCGCCAGCCCCAGGCAGAAATTGGTGTGGAATTTCATCCCCGCCCCGACGATCCGCATCACCCCTTTCCCCGCGCCGATGGCCATATCCAGGTCCGCCGGCTTGGTGGTGTTGGATGTGGAGGGTGTTTCGGAATTCAAGGGTGGTCTGGGCGGGGTGCCAGGAGTGGTTGGGCTCTGAGTTTGTTGCGGGAAGATCGCGGGGGATAGAGCCTCTACCGAGCCCTGGGCAGAAACCCCGGTAGTTGAGGAGACGCTGGCCGAGGCAGAGCGGGAGTAAAGAGATTGGAAAGAGATGGAATCGGCGCTAGCCATTGCCCTTGACGATGTTGTGAGGGGTGACCCATCGCCAGGTGGTGAGCTGATTGTACTGCTGGCTTTGGTGCCTTCTTTCCTTGCCTGGGTGGCCTTGAATATCTCTCGCGGAAAATCTGCCAATGCCATGGTCAGGGCACCAATGTCTCCGAGTAACGCCGCCACAACCGCGGTGATGGGATCCCAAGGCTGCTCTTCGGTATCGTACTCAATAGGGCGATACCTATTTATGTTTTGGAAGCTTTTAGCACTGGTCACAAAAGGAGAGAGCGGGATCGAAAGGGATATATCCGTACAGCTTGAGATCAGAGTACTTCAGCCAGCCCTCCTTCACTAACACGGTTGCCGCCAGAGCACTCAACCTGATCTTCGTTCTCCTCACCCGCCATACGGCGGCCCGGCTAGGAGCCAGCGAGCACCTCATGTTGTCAATGTTTAGGAATTGATGGAAGCTCGTGCACCCAACGTCAGTGCCCTTTTCCTCTCTGATCTTCTCGCCCAACTGTTGGGCTCGAGCCTTGCACTCAGGTCTCAGTGCCGTCTCGATCGCTGTTGCTAGATTCTCAGAGGTTAGCTTCTTGTAGGGAATCGGAACAGGTCCTGCCCCGGCTCTAGCAATCATTGAACCCCAGAATATCTGGTCCCCGAAAAAGGGCACCACAACGGTTGGCTTTCCAGCTTTGATACCAGCAGCGGTAGTCCCTGCGCCGCCATGATGAACGACGGCAGAGACATGCTTAAACAACCAGTCGTGGGGACAGTTTCCGAGCATAAACACGCCGTCGGGAAGACCCATCGCCTCACCACCTATCCCGCCCCATCCTTTGGACACCAGAGCTCTTACTCCAGTCCTAGCAATAGCCTCGAAGATGGTCCTGGTGAGCGCGTCTGGATCATCGACGACGATTGATCCGAAGCCGATGTAGACAGGCGGCGGTCCTGCCTGGAGAAAGGCGGCTAGATCCGGCTCCGGCGTGTACGCGGACTCCAGGTTGAGGAAGTAGAAGCCCGCTACGGTAATCTCTTTGGCCCAGTCGGCAGGTTTCGGTGTCAGAGCTGGCGACCAGCAGTACGTGGTAGGAATCCGCAGCCTTGTAAGCAACCCTGGGGCCCACAGCAATGAGATGGGTTCCAAGTCCAGAACGTGAGTTCGGAATCGGTTGATCATATCACCCAATCCCTGCCAAGTCATCATTTCTACTAGAGCGTATGAAACATAGTTGGTCATGGCGTCGTCAGCGTTCGTCGAAGCGATGTCGGCCAGAGGATGAGGGAATGCTCTGGTCGGCGTCCAGGGCATGCTGTTTTCTGTCAGTCTGCTTCCCCTTTTGCTGGATGCAACATGAGGGACTTACGTGAACATCATATGCAGCGGGATGCCCAGCTTCTCGGCGAGATGGATGTGCGCAAAACTGGGAGGGTTAGCGATGATGGCGTCCGCAACAAACGGCCGGTCGCTCAGGCTTCCGGGCAGCACGAGCTGCTCTTCTGCCGTCTCATCTGCCCTGCGCGGCGGCGGAGGAGCCCCCATGCCGTTTCCAGCCTCAACACAGGACCGCCAGCAGCCATTGAGGATTTGCTCGACGCCTTGGCGGCGCTTCTTGATCTCGCCGCTCGCGATGGTCTCCAGGCCAGGCATCAGTCCTGGGTTCTTGACCATAAAGGCCATCAACTCGGCGGGATCTCCGCCAATGTTGAAGAATTCGAGCCCATTTTCCTCGACAAAGGATCTGAAAGTCGCATGTGTCGCCAGGCGCACGCGGTGGCCATATGTGTCGCGGAGGACTTGACCCAGGGCAACGAATGGCTGAACGTCGCCCCTGGAGCCAACAATCTGGATCACCACATTCAGGCGGGGAGGGGATGTTTGGCCGGGCTGCCCTCCTAGGCTTGGAGGGATGTACGCTGGTGGTAGGGGCTCGGAGGGGGCCCGGGTATCAGTAAGGAGCTGCCTCTGTAGAGCTGGGCCAAGCAGCTGGGATAGGCGTCGATTCTTTTCGCTGATGTTGATGTTCACGCGGCCGTCGTCTTGGGGGGGCGTGATGTTAGTGTCCTGGAACCAGACAGGGAATATCCGCTCTGTTTACCTGTAACAGCCGCGCCGGCGGCAAAGCCAGCTTGGGAGAGCTGCAGTTGATCATGGTGGTCCCCGTAAGCGGGCGGTGGGATATCGAAATCCGTTCCCTCGAGATCCTGAATTATAGGAACTGTGTTCTGCCTCTGCGGGCCACTAGAGCTACCCTTGGTCATAACGATAGGAGATATCCTCTGGTGGAGGAGCCTGGGCAAGTTGGTGACAGATTCCAGATGCGTGCTCTCTCCGTTGGCAGATGACAATCCGGAGAATTGACGACGACTTAAGCCTGGCCCTTCATGGTGGCCACTCAGTTGAACGGTGTGATGCCTTGGGAGCAGAGGATAAAGTTAACGTTATCCCGAGGGGCGGAAAGTGTAATGGTCACCAAAATGCAACGAGGCACCTTGGGCAGCAAATGTAGACTCGTAAGCAGCAGAAGCAGCTGGTTGGTAGCGAAGTTGGCAAGGACGGCAGGTAGCTAATAGCTTATTGAGAAGCACTTTGGGCAGGAAGAAATTGAGTGTCCATTTGGAGTCACAAACGATGAAATACTAGTAAACTAGGTGTGTGGTGTAGAGCTCCTCCGTAAATAGATCAAATGATGGAGTCGGATGGACCCTCGGACACGGCACTTGTTAGTTCATAGTCAATCCCGGCGGCAACCCCTGGTAAGTCTTGATGCCGGGCCTGTTTGACGTTTGACGGAACAGATGCGCGTGGCGAAGCAGCTGTAATGATGAAGCTCTATCAGTGTCGACATGGGAGGTTCTGATGTTTGATAGGGTACCGTACTTAGTATTACAGTGACCTAGGAGTGACTGGCAGCCTGGCGCTGCAATTGGGGGGGGCAGTTTCCCTTTGCGCCTGCCAGCAGCCAAACCAATGTGGGAGAAAGAGATGACGTAACCTGGTTACTCCGCCTGCATGTATGGGACAATTACTGTCATAGGAGCCCGTATCGCACTCACGAGTCACCAGAGAGTAGGTACAATCAAAGTTTGGCTTCATAAGAGGCCTCTCCCGAGTCCACTTTAAGCAGATCACCTACGCATCAGAAGTGGACTGCTTTGGCTCCATTCATCTGGACATCTGTATGTAAGGTGCAAAATCGCGGTCAGTCATGATCCACATCACATCCCACTAATGGTACCCGTGCTTTACGTGGTCAAGTACGATTTACGAAGTACGGATACGCGTAAATAGCCAAGGCTGCAGGCCATCCTAGGCTCCATCCCCCGGCGTCCAGCTGCGCCCCGCTTACTGCGTAACCCCGGGCCATATGTACAGTACCCTATGTACAGTACAGTACGCTTACAATGCGTACCTCCGTACGGAGTACCCTCCTGATTTTTTCATTAGCGCCTTCAAGTCCGTAAGATCCCAATCCCGACGAGGAAACGACCGAAATTTCTCATGGAAAAAAAGAAGTGCTAGCAAACCGCCGTTTTGAGTGATTTTGCATAAGGTATCTCTTTTCTCTCACGTTGGATCAATCGTCATATCTTTTGAGAAGCAGTTTCCTGATACGAAATATGACTTGACCGATGTTGTAAGTTTCACGTTACACAAAATACAAGGGCTGTTTATTGTAAGGCTATAGGTGGTCATTACCACAGTACATACCAGTCACGACTCACGACGGCGGGCTAACGTTTAACTTGCGCAATTGGCGGTCAATTCTCAAAAGACAACCAACAGTCTCTCTATCACAGGACCCCTGACCGGCAAGATAAACATACAGGACTAGGTAATTGAGACAAGCATCACCATCTCCCGCAGAATGCCAGAAACTCAAGCATCATCAGACCACTCATTTGATCTTCTCCGGAGGCGGGGTGCCGCCCGTCGTGGGGAAGCCCATAAAAATTTTGAAGTAATCCTGTCAGGTGTCAGTCGCAGTCATCAATCAATCACCAAGAAACGCCAGCCGACTTACATAGATCATCCACTGCAATCCGGTCAAGGTACCAATCATGACAATTCTGACGGGCAGACCGTTCCAGAGACCCTTGAACCCAATGTCCTTGTATATCCTCGTCGTCACAGCCCCGAATCCCTCACCGGGCTTGCGGTACGCATTGAGCTTGCTGACCATGACATCGGCAGGGTGCGACACGATTGCGCAGAGGATACCCGCCAGGTAGCCGCCGACAAACGAGACGCCCGTCTGCGCAGCCTTGCCGTAGTCGCTCTTGTGCCCCGGAAGCCGATCGTAGATCATCTCGACAATGGTCTCAAACGAGGCAAACTTCATCATGGTGTAAGGGATCTGCCGGCCCCACAGCGGGTAGAGGCCCTTGTACAGGCCTGCGGTGCCCTCGGCAGCCCTGATCTTTGCGAACCCGTCGAACGTACCCGTGTACTGGGACGGGATGGTGGCCTGCATGCGCACCTTGATCGCCTCAAAGGGGCAGAGCGCAATGTCGGCCAGGAACTCGGCCGAGGCCGACGCGGCCAAGTACACGCCCGTCTTGTACTTGTAGGCCGCCTCGGGTCCTACCAAATCCGAGTACGTCTTTTTGAAGTACTCATACCACCCGTATTTGAAGGCTCCCTGCGCCGAGTAGCCAAAGAAGGTTGGGCTCCAGCCGGTGAAAATGCCGCGCATGCCTTCGGTGCGGTAAATGTGTCCCCACGCCTGGAAATTGCTCTTGTACAATTTCGAGTCGACCTGGCGCCGCGTCTTGACGAGATCGAGCGGAGTGACGGCCGTATGAGTCAAGCCCTGCCCTTTGGTAAGCGTCGTCTTTGCATGCTATGGCCGTTATCCGCAGCCACTTACACAGGCCATCAAGCCGCCAAACGTGGAGGCAGCATAATATGTGCCCGAGTACAGCTCCAATTTGTTATCTTTTCCCTGGACTTTTTGGGTCGCTGCCTCGAATTCTCTGGTGGCTTCGGCGCTCAGCTTCTTGGTCTTGCTCTTCGCATCGTCGACGATCGAGTAAGCGGGGTACAGCTCTAGCCGAGCCTGATATGGCGTAGCACCGCTTGCATTGGCTTTGCTTTGCGGTTTCCCGTGCGAATACCGACCGCCAAAGGTCTGTTGAAGAGTATCGAAGCTGGGGAAGAGCGGCATCCTGCTCTCGAGATTGGAAGCGAATGCTAGAGAGCTGTGGCGGTGTAAGTCACGGTACAACGTGAGCAACTTGAAGCTTAACGAGGGTTACAGCTTTTTAGATTATGCTTACTTGGCTTGTCCCGTTAAAGAAGAGAGATCGAACGGCAAGGCACACTTAGGCGTTGCAATCGAACTCGGAAAGAAGGCTATCCCAGAAACGCTGAGTGAGAGAATAGATGATGGAGAACAGGATGCCGTTCTCAACGGAGATAAGCCGAGGCGTGGACGCTATCTAACGGAAATAGCGGGATGAACCAGATGGTGACGAACAAAAAACGGGAGAAGTCGCAGGGTATCGAAAGCAGGCCAACCAGTAACAGCATCCGAAAACCGATCTGGCCAGTGGCAGGATCCATCCGAGCCGATGACCTCATAGCCGCGAGCTGCCGTCACCGATCCTCCATGATAGGGGATCCAAATTGCTAAACTATGTAGTACATGGCAGGAGGAAGGGAAGGAGCAATGAGTCTAGAGGACAAGGTAATGTATAATACTGTTGAGAAGAATTGAGTGTTCCTAACGAAGCAGTATATTTCCAAGTACAGGCTGTTCAAAGTGGGAATACACTGCTCTTAACTAAACAGGATATCTTGGAAGATATCCTATTCCTGTCGCTTAATACTGTTGGCCTGAAGGGAATCGTGTAATACTGCTGGGCTCGGGAACATGCTGTTCTGGAAATTTAGCTCTGTTGCAAATCTAACAGTATTACCACAAGCTGTTGTAGCACCCCCGCCCCCCTCCATGGAAGCAACCTGGTCCTGAACCCCTCTAGGGAATTTCTTTAGCTCTTATTAGACCCTACAGTAAACCTTGAAACCTGTAGCCAATTAGTCGCTATAGACATAGCGCCACTTGGCAAGTATATACCTTAAAGTGGCTGTGGATTGAAATCTGTATAGTGCTGTGATGTATAGGTAGTTAAGACGTTAGTTGATGGAGTGAGCGGTATGCAACAGCGTTCCCAATAAGACAAGTAAGATCAAATCAATCTATAGCATGCAATACCGTTAGTTTAAGCGCCATGCTGCCGGTTACGAGACTCGGTGGATTTCGACTACTCAGCCAGAAGCGGGGGAAGAGAGGGGTTAACACGAGATAGAAAGCTCTATCCGTGATGATTTTTGGTGGATGCCCCTCGGCAGCTGCTATCGTACCTTGACGACCTGCGTTCCTCTCGATTGTTACTATTCTCATCCAACTGTGGTGGTCTTCCCCATCCCTCGCCTGATCTGGCCGGAAGAACGCCTCTTTGTCTCCGGGTATCCGATATTGTTGACATCGCCGGTCACTTCTTGTCCAGTCATTGAATCAAGGACCTTCCTTCCACAATCCAGAAATCCAGATTGCTCACCATGGCTCACTTCCCCAAGCTCATCCCTGCATTTACCGTCCAGGTGAGCTCAACCTTGTTGAACGACATTCATGTTTATTTTCATGTTTTGTCTCCATGATAAACCCCTTCAGCCTAGCCTAGACTTCTCTCTTGCCTCTGCTAGGCCAGTGAACAGATAAGAAAAGAAATCAAAGCACCTAACGAACTAACTAAAAAATAACCAGGTCGCGATCGACCCCCCGTCCTCGGTCTCGCCCAACCTCACGTTTGTGCCCTTCGCGCCCAAGGGCGGGTCCATCGTCTCGGAGCCGTCGTACCCGATCGCGCTCAAGGCGGACATTGAGCACGGCGCCGACTACATCACGACGGCGCCCGGCGGCAAATACGTGAAGCTCGAGGTCCACGGCATTGCCCGCGACACGCTCACCGGCGGCCTGCTCCGCATCCGCTACACGGGCCGCATCCCCACGACGGGCCCCGCGGGTAAAGTCCTCCGCGGCGAGGCAGGGGCGGGGACTACCCCCTTTGGGGAAGCCTGTGAGTCTTTCCTCCTTTCACTTTCTTTCTTTCTTTCTCTTTCTGCATGTGGGTAGGGCGAAAGGGAAATTTGCTGTGTTGTGGTGTGAAGACGGAATTAGTGAGACTCGGGCTGATGAAAAGGACGGGGCGGTAGTCATGCATGTGGAATTCGAGACGGGGGCCGAGGCGCTGGCGGCTCTCCAGGAGAAGGTCTATGTGGGATCGGGACACTTCGTGATAGAACCTGGCAAGCCGGTGATTGTAGAGTACAAGGTCAGCGAGGTCTCTGCCTGAGGTAATCGGCCGTCATCTGGGTTCTCTGCAAGCAGTGCCTGCAATCCTTTAGACTTGGTTAGATGGCTGATCACAACGGGGGTTGCTCCTGTGATTACGTTCGCTCTCGGCCGACGCTTGCTCTGTAACAGAACCTCGAGGTGGATATTACTGAACAATTGCTGTTACACTGTCTGGGGCCGGTGGCCCTCTGGCCGGCCATTATCACCTTGGACCGGAGGGGGAATGCACCGAGATGATGCTTGTGTTTCCTTAATTTCGTAGTCCTGGGTCCGCTCAAAGACACATAATCCGCCTGACGCCTACTGAACGCCTAGAACAAGAGTACCGAAGGAAACCGAAACCGGCCAGCCAATGCCGTTGTTAGTCCATGAGCTCCATTCCTGAATCTTGCCACCTGGCCCCAGGTCAAGCTCTTATCGCCGCGTCTGCGCCTCGTAGCTCGCCCTGAGCGCCATGATCTGCTGCCTCTCCAATTCGGGCAGCTGGTCGATCGTCGACTGCGGCAGCTCCATGACTGCTCGCATGAGGGCCTCGGGATCTTGGGCCGGGGGAGCAGCAGCCGGGGCTGCGGCAGCCACAGGTGCAGGTGCTACGTAAGCGCCCGGTCCTGCGGCCGGCACAGGCGGAGTGCCCGTTAGGCCAGGGTATGCCCCTCCGTAAGGTGCAACCCCTGCGGGTGGAGCGGCAGGCGCAGCGCTGCCCGTCTCCAGGACAGAGTTGATTGCGTCTGGCGACACCAGACCCATGATTAGGAGCGCCTGGAAGATGGCATAGCCCAGCTGGGGCGCCTGATTGAGCAATTCGGTGGCGCGAGCTGGGTCCCCCGTCGCGAGAGCCTTCATTTGCTGGAGGATATCGAGTAGCTGGGCAGGAGGAAGGGTGTTCAGGGTACGCGAGATGGCGTCTGCGCAGGTTACTCCCGGAGGCAGGTCCTTACCCTGGGGAAGAGGCGGGAGAGACGCCGCACCTCCTCCTGCTGGTGGCATTGCGGAAGTGCTGCCGTTGGCGTTGTTGTACTTCTGGTATCCGCCAGCTTGAGCGCCTTGGTTCGCCTAGGGAGACAAGACGAGTTAGTATTGGCAACGAAGAGGGTCGGGGACCTTATCAAAGAGACATACCCCGCCATCACGATCGCGGCCATCCTCATCGCTAACACTCTCGTTGCTGAAGTCTACACGGAGTTTGCGACCCATGATTTCGTAGTCGTTTAAATTTCGGACTGCCGAGGCCGCAGAGTCTGCGAACAGTACGTCAATTAGGAACTAACTATTCAAAGGACGGGGAGGTGGCGGCGAGCGAGAACGTACCATAATCGGCATATTCAGCAAAGCCAAACCCTTTCGGCCGTCCCGTTTCCCGGTCGTTGACAAGTCGGAAACTGAGCACCCTGCCGGCGCCGCTGAACAGCTCGATTATTTGCTCTTCAGTCAAACCTGCACCGATATGTTTGTCAGTTGAGGCTGGTCTGCCTAGGCGAATCTCAAGGATACATCGTCCGCTCACCGTAGGGAATGTTGCCCACAAACACCGAACGTGAAGGCTGCCTCGTTGACATGATGAAAACTGGACGATTCGGTCTGGGATGGAAGGCTCTTCCTGTGAATAGTCACCCGGTTTACGAATTGATGGACGAATCACAATATGGATATGTTGACAGCCTGCCACTATCGAAAGCGCATGTGTTGAAGAGATCACGTTCTGGGCGCGGCGTGGATGAAAGTCAAACAAAGGCAGCAAGAAAACCAGTGGAAACAGGTTGTCACCAGGCGAAGCGTGCTAGCACACACAATTGGATCCCTGCAATGCTTCTTCCGTCCCAATTCCACGAGTCACCTGGTCTTCTTTTGGCTCACGTACTGAGCCTATGACCCAAAAAGAGAGTCCTTATGGATATACTCTTGTAAGCTGTTATGGCTCTGGACTAGAAAGACGTTGCTCACCAAGTTCAAAAAAAGTTCCGTGATTATGAATGTGGATCCCTCACATGTGATTGGGTCGCAGCGCCCTGCAAGGCGAAACATACAAGTGGAGAGGTGGCCCATGCTCAGTATGCATGGACCACTTGCTTCACGTGAGGCCGTTAACTCTTGCATGCAGAGTACGTCAAGCTCTCAAGCTCTTGCTCCACCACGCAAACCGAACTGCAGGGAGCATCGGCCACTGCACCACAGACAACATGGCGAACCGCAACCCATTCGAGGAATACGCCAACAGAATCCGACAGGCCGCTAGAGCCGGTGGCCAAGTAAGCTTCTCGCGAGGTACCGGATTCCCCGGCGGCAGGCCACCCCGCGGCCTCGGCGCTGGCATTTTTGGTCTCGCTCTTTTGGGTGGCGGCGCATTGCTCTTTCAGAGTGCCCTGTTCAACGTCGATGGTGGCCATAGAGCGATCAAGTATACAAGAATAAGTGGTGTCAGCAAGGATATCTATGGAGAAGGTGCGGCTCATCTACCCGTCCACGACCTTCATCTGCTGACGCGACAGCAGGGACCCATTTCGTGATTCCGTGGTTCGAGACGCCTGTTATCTACGATGTGCGGGCGAAGCCGAGAAACGTCTCCTCCCTAACAGGGACGAAGGACCTTCAGATGGTCAACATTACCTGTCGTGTGCTCTCGAGACCGGATGTCTCGGCCCTCCCTCAGATCTACCGCACTCTCGGCCAAGACTACGATGAGCGCGTTCTTCCATCGATCGTGAACGAGGTCCTGAAGAGCGTTGTTGCTCAATTCAACGCCAGTCAATTGATCACGCAGAGAGAAATGGTTGCCAGGCTTGTGCGGGAGAACCTCTCCCGGAGAGCCGCTCGCTTCAATATTCTCCTGGACGATGTGTCTCTGACGGTATGTTGTTGTGAGGTCTGGTTTCGCAATCACCACACTAATCCAGATGCAGCATCTCGCATTTTCTCCCGAGTTTACAGCAGCCGTTGAAGCGAAACAGGTTGCGCAGCAAGAGGCTCAGCGTGCCGCCTTCATTGTCGACAAGGCACGGCAAGAGAAGCAGGCCATGGTGGTCAAGGCCCAGGGTGAGGCCCGGTCTGCGGAGCTTATCGGTGAGGCTATCAAGAAGAGCAAAGCATATGTGGAGTTGAAGAAACTGGAGAACGCGCGGGCGATTGCAGGGCTCCTCCAGGAGGCAGGCGGCAAGAACAGATTGCTCCTCGACTCCGAGGGCTTGGGTCTGAACGTCTTCGAGGATTCGGAGAAGAAATAACGGATGATGACAGGCATGGAATGGGAAGGCAAGGGGCAATCTCTACTGTATGCGTATTGGAAGACGGGTAGCAGTCCCCAGTGTAACAACATAATCATTATGATTTCGGGTTCGCCAAGGCCTCAGTGTCAGTTCTTGAGGACAGATTGTCCGGGGTTGTCTCGAGTATCAAGTATGGCCAACAGCGGACAATAGGCCTGCCCCCTCAGACAGGCGAATACGGCAGCGGAAGCCAATATCTCGGGAATCAAGTATTGCCTTTCCAGTAGAAACGTCGTGGTAGACCAGACAGACCAGTTAGCCCCAGCCCTGTTCCTGTCTTTCATACAGAAACAGACAAGCAGGGGGAAGGCTGGATTGCTACAGGCAAGTAATTAACAGCCTCTAACATGCCTTACCCATACAAGTGTAAATACAGAACAGCAACTGGTATTGTACTACACGTAATATAGTGTACATTACCAGGTGCAAGTACTGTCTGTACTGTACATACAATACATGGAGTTACCAACCGGCAAGGTCCTTCGCTTCGATCAGTTCGATGACCTCCAGACAGCCCCACTACCCCTCCTTCGTCACTCCCTCGACCCTGCGACTGCACCTGCAACTATTGCGCGCCTGCCTTCCTTTGCCGTGAGATCCGACAGCAGCAGATTCCCAGCAGGGTTTCATTTCCATTCTTTCACCAATCTCCTTGCTTTCTCTCAGAATACAACTGCCGTAGAAGTCTCACTTGGCCCCGGAAACCATCAAGATGCTGATCAAGTATGTCATGCGACCGTCTTCTCTTGAGCCTCACAGCATTAACCCGTAACTGCTAGGGTCCGCACGCTCACCGGCAAGGAGATCGAACTCAATGTTGAGGGTTCCGACATGGTATTCGGCCCCCTATTTTTCTTGCATCTGTCTATGCAGCCCGGGGCTGACGGGACCGTCTCGAATAGGTATCCAAGATCAAGGAGCTCGTCGAAGAAAAAGAAGGCATCCCCCCGGCGCAGCAACGTTTGATCTATGGCGGGAAGCAGATGTAAGCGGACTTTTCATCCAGTCTAAGCCTGAGCCGTGGTCGTTGGACGGTCTTGTTAAACAATGATGGGTTGGAATAATCATAGGGTCGACGACAAAACCGCAGACGATTACCGCCTCGAGGGCGGCGCAACGCTGCATCTAGTACTCGCGCTGAGAGGCGGACAGCGGTGAGCCGAATTCAGCGATAAGAAATAGAGGAGGAGATGGACAAAGATGGATTGGCTGAGTACCAAGAAACACGAGCCGGCGCATCCACCAGCGTTTCACCTCCCAGGGATCAAGGGGATATCGATAGAGATTGGTGTGTACGACGACCTAGAGGCAGCTGGTCAGACCCCAGTTAGCCATGTTGCTTTGGTATTGTGAAGGGCGTCGAGCCGCTGCCGGTGAAGACGGAGAAAGGATCTTGGTAGGCGGGATAGGTCTGAGTGCATGAGCCAGTAGCGTGTACATACATGCGGTTACCGTTCTTCAGTGATGGACCCTGAAGCAAAACGCTGTCACAGGAGGGTCTCACAAGGTCAAGCAAGACGTATGGATCTTCCAGCGGCTGCTATACTTCCGCCTTCCGGACCGAAGTGAAAAGGGTTCAGATGCCATGAGACTTATCCTTATGAACTGCTCGACAACGAGCTTGTGTAGCGTTAAGTCGGTTCTTCTACCGTATTGACTCGACTATTGGTTGGGAACACAATCATTGCAATGCATCATTTCACCAATGGCTTGCCTTCCAAGCTGTAACGTTACCTCCATACCCCCTCGCCAGGATGTGCTGAACGAAGTTTGACTCAGTGCAAGTAGTGAGCTTCAACGACAACGAAGGAAGATAACACTCGGACTGAAACTCTATTCCCACGAGGTAAGGTAGTCTAGCTGAAAGTACCACCGTTTCTATTAGGAAGCTATGCATTTGCGGCGTCCAGGGTATCGCGGGTATCGTTCAAAACCCAGTCCCAACTCCTCTTCATATAAGAGCAAACCGTGTAGCGCCAACCACGCCCCCAAAGCTCTTGTATAATGCAGTCCAGTATATAGTCATCGAGAAACCTATCCAGTTGCTCCATTTAGTCACTTGTAACATTCCCACAACGCGCGTGGTGCTCCTGCGCGGGGCCCTGCCGTTCGAGTGCCAACCATTGAAGCACCGGCTCTCTCTGCAATGACTCTGTTTCAAGCTTCAGACATGAGACCGCTTCTTTCTGTCAGTCCTCATGCAGAGATCAACGGCTGTCCTCTTGCGCTTCAGTTGAGATGGCATGCTGGACGACGGAGCCGGACCTTGTCGGCCGGGTGACGAACTGGGCGCTTCTGAGCGTGGGCCCGGGTGAGCGGGGTTGGCAGATGCACTGCCCAGTGACACATTTTGAGGAATCGGACCACTAGACGGGCCCTCTGGAGATGACATGGCATTGCGCGTGACCTTGTTGGTACCCGGAGCCGCCGAGAGAAGACCACGACGGGGCTGGATTGGCAGCTTATCCGCCGTCTGGGACGAGAGACCGGCAGCAACTTCAGGGGGTTTGGCTGACATAGGCCCGGCCGGAGGAGGGCCGTTCAAGTCCAAGTCGCCCAACAGGTCGTCGCCGAATAGATCGTCGAATTCCGTTGAATCACCAGGTTCGCCATCGTTGGGGTGGCTGGTGCCTTCGTTATCTTGAACGTTGGCAGTATTGACTGCGGTGGCCTTTTCGGCTTGGCGAAGGCGAGATGAACTATCATGGAGCGCAGTGGTGGTAGCGCCTGCTTTCTTGATCTGAAGAAGGCGAGCCTCTCTCTGTTTGAGCTGGCGCTCTGTTTCCCCTGTGGCGGGAGACACCTTTTGGCGAGGGGCCCGGATCACGGACGTTCCAGGGCCGGTTTGCAGCGCAATCCTGGCATTATTGACCATGGCTTCCGGCGCCTTCGTGAGTTGCCCGGTGGGAACGGGTAGCTTGCCGGTTGGTGTAGCAAGCCTGAAGTGCTTGGCCTGTACGGCCAGCTCCGCCCTCGCCTTGGATAAAAAGCTCCGTTTTTGACGCGGCAAGAGAGACCAGTGCGGGGATTGGGAACGGTGGCCAGGAGGTCTGGGAAGGCGTAGCTTCTTGGTGTCCTTGGGGGAGATAATGACAGCTCCGCGAGCATCTTTCTGCTCTTTGTGAGCGGCAAAGTCCTGCTTGAGCTTCTCCGTGGCAGCGGCAATCTCTTCATCTTGGATATGTTTGTACTCCTGCCAAACTTTGTGCCAGGACTCCGGGTTTTCCGCGACCAGGTTGTGTTTGGCCACGAGAATCGGGAAGTCCTTCTTGATGATCCGCGGCCACTGCTCCGCCGTCACGTCGTAGATGTCATCGCTATTGAGCTCCAAGGTGCGCAGATGCTCGGCTGTCTTCACAGCCTTGATTATTGGAGCGATGAGATTTGAGGGAAGACTCCCAAGACTTGTGATGCGGTTAACATTGTCGGCTGCAACTTTAATGCAAAGATCGACAAGGTTCTTAGGGCCGGGCATGGTGTGTGTGATAATGCCGCCCAAATGGCTGCCTGACTGCGTCAAGTGAGGCAAGCTGCCAGGACTTTCTGGTCGACAAGCTGAATAAGGAGCTGGATGAGCAGCCGGTGAATGACCGGTAGATGATAAAACGCTGAAACCCGTTCACCAATGCCTTTGAGTATTTCCCGATCTGGTGTCTGCTGGCTTATTTGTTGTTTACTGACCGCACGCTCCGTGCAGATCAGAACAACTGATGGATGAGTAACGAGGGGGAGATGCGCCTTGAGGTTTGAGGTTTGAGGCGTAAGAGGAAGCTGAGTCAACGCTTGCGAGATTTGGTTATCCAGCTGAGAAGTGGTCGAAGAAGGAGCCTCTCGTTTTACATAGTTGGGTCCCAGTTGCAATCAGCATCATCATTGGTACCACGATACTCGACAAAGCGAGGCACTTGCAACGCCGAGATTTGAGCTCTCGGGACGTCGAGGGGACCCTGTTGTCTTTTAAATGCCCGAGTGCGCTAACCAAAACGTTATCTTCAATGGCGCAATTGTGCCAAGCGAGAACAGCTGCGAGCAGCTGAGTAACTGAAGCGTCGTACGATACAAGTATGTACAGTACAAGACCCTGGGACTGTATGTATACGATACATCGTAGTTGCTGACAGAGTACTCCGTACAATAGCTACCTGTAGTACTGTATGTACAATTGTTAGCATCCATCTCTCAGGGACTAACCCATCTTTCACCTGAAGTCCAAAACTTCAAGTTACAAAAAGCTTAAGTGAGGACCTGGCGAAGCAATGAAGCACTTTGTAATTAGCTCTATGCGGCCTGCTATTAGGGGCTTTTCCTAATATATCATGCAATCTGTCCTGGAAAGGCAGATTTCTTCTTCACTGAAACCACCTATGCAGTGAAGTATCCGTACTAGTACCGGTACTGTACAGTATTGATAAGGGATCGGGAATTCTGGATTCGGGTCGTACAGTACGCCCAATCCCACACCGTGCAGAAACCAACTTGAACTGCTTGAGCTTCCCAGCTGAAGCTTTCTCTTTCTGCATCGCATCTACCAATCAATGCCTGTCTCTTACGGGAGAATCTCACCGGAAACGCATTGAGTTGATATCCAACTCCCTCTGTGATTCTTGTCGCAGCACCTGTTAGCATCGATTGCCGCGCCCTACAATTATAAACCAAAATGGCAGCTTGGGGCCTCCTCGACGACAAGGAGGAAAATGAGCTGCACAAGTCTCGACTTTTGAATGTAGAAGAGAAGCCATTCAAGCGTACAATCAAGCGCCTCAGCACTCTTCACTCCATAGCAGTCTTTCAAGCCCGCCAGGCATTTCCAGGGAGCAACGGCCCTCTTACCCAGCCCAATCAGCAACAGCACGATGGCATTTCCCCGGCCCCAAACGGCGACGTCTCCTTGACCGACCTTGCGCAGCTCAAAGAAGACATCACGCTCGATTTCGCTGCCTTTGACAGTAGCATTGCCCGCCTGCAATTCCTGCTGACTGCCAACGAGCGCGAGAGGGAACGGTACGCGGCCGAGCGCGAACGGATATTGAGCACGTCGCGATCTGTCCGCGACAACACGGCGCAGCTCCGCCTTCAGCTTGATCAGGCCCGTGCGACGCTCGAGCAGCGCCGCAAGTTCGATGAACTGGCCGACGCCATTACGAGCAACCCATCGCTGCGCCCACGCGCCGAGCAGGCTGCGAACTTGCAGAAGCTAGAGGAGGAAATTGCTGAGCTAGAGGAGGAGAGCAAGACATATGCCGCCACATGGCTTGAGAGGAGGGACCAATTCGCCAAAATCATGGACGAGAGCATGCGGTTACGGAGGCTGATCCGGGATGAGAAGGAAGAGGTTGAACGTCGCGAGGGAATGGATGACGAGGGTGGGCAGACGCCCAGGCCTTCCGGGCTCGCCAGCGGCAATGCTACCCCGAGACCAGAGAGCGGGCTGCTGCCCAAGAGCGGTGCCGAGAGCGGCGAGGCTGTCGGAACGCCGCGCCCGCTGTCTACGACTGGTGGGCGGACGCCGGCTCGAGAAAGCCCCGCTCCCGGACAAGAAAGCCAGTCGTTCCTCAAGCCAAGATCGGATATTGTTGGAAGCTTCTCGCAGACTGGCAGCCAGGCAGAGAGTCGCGAAGGCTCCGTTGACAGAGAAGCCAAGGCGGAGCAAGACGAGGTGGAGGAGGGAGAGGACGTGGAAATGGGCGAGACCAAGGCCGATGAATCAGGGGCTGATAGCCCGCTGACACCCCCTCCGGCTGATGACACGCCGCAGATAGTGGTTGATGGCCAGACCGACACGATGGATACGAGTTAGTTCACAGTCTAGGATGGAGGCGGACTGGCGGCTGGTACCTAACAAATCACAAGGAAGCGACTTCGTGCTTGATGATAGGGTCACTGCCTCTGGTACAAAACATGCTATCTCCGTAACCTCTAGGCAATTAATACAACCTGTTTACTGCGCCCCTGCCTCCTCAACGAGCTTCTGCCCAGACTCGATCGCCTCCCTAGCCTTCTTCAGCTCCTCCTCTGACGCAGTTCCATCGCTCTCCGAAATGGCGAGCTGTTCCTCGAGCTTCTGCACAGCGTCCGCGATGCGCTGTTGCAGGGGTCCAAACACAGCTTTGGTCTCTTCAAGGGCCGTTCGCTAATGTGAGGGTTAGGGTTGATTGTTAATGAACATATGCTATAGGCGACCCACCTCCTGCTTGAGAATATACTCCGCGTTGCTGTCCAGGTCTGGGCTATTGGCTTCGATGTCCTCCTGCAGTTTCTTGATGCGCTTCTCTTGGTTGGCCTGCTCCTTGTGGTAGTAGGCCTCTTCCCTGACCAGGCGGTTGACCGATTGGGTTGCGATGCTGAGAGGCGTTGGAGGTGCCATCTTGGTTTGTGCTGGAGAAAAACGATAGAGGAAATCAAGAGAAAGGGCACCACAGGGTCGGTGAAGGACTTGATCAAGTATTTCCACAAGCAGCTTTCAGGTTGCTGTTTCTCAGTGCGGTCAAGCACGATGCGCTCTCCAGCTCCTGATTATAGAGAGGTGGGGTTGGAGGGGTAGGTGTGAATTTCGAGCCACCAAAACGGGTCCTGCAGTGAGCCTATCTAAAGACATTTGCTGCAAGACCTCTCTGACTGTATTTGTGAGGTTTTAGGTACACTGCTACACTTGCCTCTGGCATTCGAAATTGCAAAAACATTAAAGGTATCTGAATATCTACTTTAAGGTAGCTTAGTAGTTACGCGCTTATCTGGTGATAATTTCTTGTACGTGTTGTTCCTCAAAGCCAAGAACAAAAGTGTGCCAGGCCGTTGAATATGGGTTCCCAATGTCAGGACTCGATGATTTGTAGGCACATCGCATCGCCACTTATATATGAACCGATCCATAGCAAGGCTTGATCCATAGCTATTCATGGTAGTTGATCGTCGAGCCTTATATCAGGTTGCAGATCTTTTTTTCTCGAGGTTCTGATAGTGTCTGTGGTCAGTCAGTCTTGAACACCATAGAGTAACAATCCGTTTCTTGAGGGGCAAGAGAAGACAGCCGTAACATGTCGTGACAAGGCATCCTGAGGCTCCTGACTCAAAACTCTGGTCCTAGGTAACCCGTCGTTATATGCGTCTTCTGAGAAAAGGGTCCAAGTGATCATAGCGAGCCAACTTTGCGAGAACATTCCATTCGCCACAGCGCATAGAAAGGCTCGGGAGTGTGTGGGGTTGTGTACTGTGGTATGTCAGGTACGGAGGTACTGTGGTAGTTCCCTTTTCAGTGCTGAACGTGTACTCCGTATCCATCCGCCTACTCACCAAAAGCGCCTGGGGCTTCAGAACACCTCAAGTGCGTACTAGTTGCGAGCCAGCAGCAGACGGTCTACACATGTACCCGTACACCACACTACCGGTACCTGGTATGTTTGGTTGACGAGAGCATCATGCGCATGTACAGTACTGTATAAGCCCGGTAAGGTATGCAGAACCCGGGGCACTGGACGGAGCCGACAAAAACGCTGCACTTACCAATCCCGTGCGGAGCATAACCAGCCTGGCCCGCTGTCGCCCGTTTGCGATTGGCTCCCCCTTGGCTGGAGATCCGATTTGACATGCAGGGCTGTCCCGGGGCTAGCCACGTTAGGCGGAGCCTTGGCAAGCCTGGCCCTGGATTGGACGGCCAGTCAGCGTGGGATCCCACATAAAACGTGCCGAGAGGCGAGAGTTGGAACTGGACACGTCGTGCAGATGGGATTCTGGGGCTGGATACTGCTAGACTTCTGTCGTAGTCCAGATCAATTCCAATCCACTCGCTTTCATTCTCGTTCTTTCATGAGGCTGTTGTTGTTCTTTTGAGCTCATGGTCCTTTTGTAGCTTGACTTCTCTTTTCTTCAACCGGACCGCTTGGGAGGATTACGGGTTTCGGAGACCTCTCCTCAGTAGACATCACCCGCCGCCAGTAAGACGGAGACGGCACTGTCGCAACCATGGAGAATGCCTTCGCGAAGCCCATCGACGAGGTGCTCGACACATTAGGCGTGCGCCCGACAACCGGCCTATCCGACGAGCAAGTCTCCAGGCTACAAGCTAAATATGGAAAGAATGGTATGCAGTACTCCCCGAGATATGGATGCTTGCCTGTACACAGTAGTTGACAATGCCTCTCCACAGCAATTCCCGAGGAACCGCCCACGCCCCTTTGGGAGCTCATTCTTGAACAGTTCAAGGACCAACTAGTCATTATTCTTCTCGGATCGGCCGTTATATCCTTCGTTTTGGCGCTTTTCGAGGAGGATGGCGGCTGGAGCGCATTCGTCGATCCCATCGTCATTCTCACCATCCTGGTTCTCAACGCGGTTGTTGGCGTCTCCCAGGAGAGCAGCGCCGAGAAGGCAATTGCTGCGCTGCAAGAGTACTCGGCCAACGAGGCAAATGTGGTACGCAATGGGCAGGTTCGCCGGATCAAAGCCGAGGAACTCGTGCCTGGCGACATCGTGGACGTCTCTGTCGGCGCGCGTATCCCTGCCGACTGCCGACTGATTGCGATCGAGAGCAATAGCTTTGCCGTCGACCAAGCCATTCTTACAGGAGAGAGCGAGAGTGTAGGGAAGGATTGCCGTGCCGTCCTCAGCGATCAGAAGGCGGTTTTGCAGGACCAAGTCAACATGCTATTTTCAGGGACCACCGTTGTGACCGGCCACGCCAAGGCAGTGGTCGTCTTGACCGGCTCAAGAACGGCTATCGGCGACATTCATGAGAGCATCACCGCCCAGATTTCGGAGCCGACGCCCCTAAAGCAGAAGCTCAACGATTTCGGTGACCAGCTCGCCAAGGTTATCACAGTCATCTGTGTCCTGGTCTGGCTCATCAACATTCCCCATTTCAGCGACCCAAGCCATGGAAACTGGACCAAAGGCGCCATCTACTACCTCAAGATCGCCGTCTCCCTTGGCGTTGCGGCTATCCCCGAGGGCCTTGCCGTCGTCATTACTACTTGCCTCGCCCTGGGAACTCGGAAGATGGCTGCCAAGAATGCTGTGGTGAGGAGTCTACCATCAGTTGAGACGCTGGGAAGCTGCAGTGTCATTTGCTCCGACAAGACCGGCACCTTGACTACCAACCAGATGAGTGTCAGCAAGATCGTCTATTTGAACAGGGACGGCACCGACTTGGAGGAGTTGGATGTTGAGGGCACCACGTTCGAACCGAGAGGCGACATTAAGTTGCAAGGCAAGGTTCTCACAGACCTTATCGAGCAATCTACGACAGTGCGACAGATGACCGAGGTCGCTGCACTTTGCAATGACGCCCGGCTTGATTACAACCCACAGACGGCAACCTACTCCAACGTTGGCGAGCCTACGGAAGGCGCTCTCCGAGTCATGGTCGAGAAGATTGGGCCCTGTGCGCCCTCTGATTGCCATCTCAAGGACCGGGTTCACTATGCTAGCTCTTGGTACGAGAAACAGTACGGCCGTCTTGCTACCTACGAGTTTTCCCGCGACCGAAAGAGCATGTCAGTTCTCGTTCAGAACGGCGCCAGCCAAAAGCTGTTCGTAAAGGGCGCTCCCGAGTCCATCATTGAACGGTGCACCCATGCTCTGCTGGGACGCGATGGGAAGAAGGTCTCCCTAGATCGCAGGCTCACGGATCTCCTTCTCAAAGAGGTTGTCGAGTATGGTAACCGGGGTCTTCGTGTCATCGCTTTAGCCAGCCGTGACCAGGTCCAGAACGAACCCCTCCTCCACAAGGCCAAGTCGACTGCCGAATATGCCGCATTAGAGCAGAATCTAACTCTCCTTGGTCTCGTTGGCATGCTAGATCCTCCTCGTCCGGAGGTTCCTGCCGCAATTCAAAAGTGCAAAGATGCTGGCATCCGCGTCATTGTTGTCACGGGCGACAACCGCAACACAGCCGAGACCATTTGCCGCCAAATCGGTGTATTTGGCCCCTACGAGGATCTGACTGGGAAGAGCTTCACTGGCCGCGAGTTTGACAACCTTAGCCCCAATGAGCAACTGGAGGCTGCCAAGAATGCCTCCCTATTCTCCCGCGTCGAACCCACGCACAAGTCCAAGCTTGTCGATTTGCTGCAATCGCTAGGCGAGGTTGTCGCTATGACTGGCGACGGTGTCAATGACGCGCCTGCCCTCAAAAAGGCCGATATTGGCGTGGCTATGGGCTCTGGCACCGATGTGTCCAAGCTTGCCGCGGACATGGTGCTCGCCGACGACAACTTCGCTACTATCGGAGTTGCGATCGAGGAAGGACGCTCCATCTACAACAACACCCAACAATTCATCCGTTACCTAATCTCATCCAACATCGGAGAGGTTGTGTCTATCTTCTTGACGGCCGCTCTGGGCATGCCCGAGGCCCTCATCCCGGTACAGCTTCTCTGGGTAAACCTGGTCACCGACGGTCTCCCAGCCACTGCCCTCTCATTCAACCCACCGGACCATGATATCATGAAGCGGCAGCCGAGAAAACGCGACGAGGCGCTAATTGGCGGCTGGCTGTTCTTCCGTTATCTGATTATCGGAACCTACGTCGGTCTCGCTACGGTTGCCGGTTACGCCTGGTGGTTCATGTTCTACTCTGGGGGCCCGCAGATCAGTTTCTATCAGCTGTCTCACTTCCACCGATGCTCCGCCGAGTTCCCTGAGATTGGCTGCGAGATGTTCACCAATGACATGGCCAAGGCCGGCTCGACTGTGTCGCTCTCCATCCTGGTTGTCATTGAAATGTTCAATGCCATGAACGCCCTTTCTTCCAGCGAGTCCCTTCTCACGCTCCCGGTTTGGGAGAATATGATGCTCGTCTATGCCATTGGCCTCTCGATGGCACTGCACTTCGCCTTGCTATACACCCCGTTCCTCCAGTCCCTCTTCTCGATCTTACCACTTAATGGCGCGGAATGGAAGGCAGTGCTCGTTATCAGCGCGCCTGTAATGTAAGTTTCTAGAGTTCCCCATATCTGATAATCATTTTGCTGACCTTCTCCAGCCTCCTCGATGAAGGGCTCAAATTTTTGGAACGGACATTCTTCGTACAAAAATCGGCTCACCTGCTGCCCAAGGCGAAGAAGGAGCAATAGAACAGGGAGTTAGAGGACTAGCATCGCACAAGATAGATAGATCTTGTATACTAGAAGATAGTCTAGTGTTGCAGCCCAGGGGTTCTTATATAGAGTCATTTAGAGTGTAACCGTGTATCGCCCAGGGTCCCCATGTACGAATTTGCTGTGATGTTTGTTTTAGATATCGATTGGTGTCTCGACATGGCCTACTGATACAGCGCCGCGTATTCTAGCGAATACGGCCATCCTTTGCTTCATTCTAGACGTCCTTAATCCTGCCGCCCCTTCAGCAGCCTCTTCGTCACTTTATCCTTCTCAATGATGTAAACGTGGGCTCCCCAGCCCGAGAGGGCATCGCGGTCGACAGCGTTAAGGAGGGCTTGTGATATCGTCTCGAAGAGTGCATCCGGCCCCTGGGTGGAGGTGGATACGCAGTCAGCAAAGAAAGGAGAGCGGTTAAGAGAAAAGTAACGGATATGACCCACCAAGTCCGGCTCCCACAAGCTCTCACACATGCCAAAGAGTTGCTCCGTCGCTGTCCCGCTCACGATGAAATCCTTTGCAAAATCGATGCACCCGATGCTGTCGAAGCCGCAGATGAAGGGCTGGCCCGTCTTGGGGTCTAGGCCGGCCACGACAGGGCTGACAAAGTAAGGGCCGAAGCGGCGCTCATAGAGGCTGCTGCTGACGAGGTTGGCAAAGGTGCGGGGCGCAATGTTGCGCTCCTCGCGCAGCCGGTACATGTTGACCTTGTACCGGAACAGGTCCGAGACGGTCGACACGTCGGTCGCCAGCCCCGTCAACCCCAGGAAGACGTTGTCGCCGTACTGGAAGATCTTGGGGAAGTTGTTGGACACCGTCAGTGCTTGCAGGCCCAGCCGCAGATCGCAGGCTATGGCGACGCAGTCCTTGCCAACCATGGCCACGCAGGCACCGCCGTCTGGTTTGGTTTCCCCGTGTTAGAGAGAGCATGGGAGACTGAGGATGGGGGGTCGTTTGGTGGTGGGAGAGCGTTACTTATTGAGAAAGGAGATGACTGTGAGAGTAATACGTTAGCTGAGCAATCGGCAGGGAGTTGCGACAGCGAGCTCGAACATACCATCTTGACTGTGTATGGATGATGCTGAGAAGCTATCAGCGGAAGAGCCAACGGAAGCGCGGTCCCGATTGACGTGGTCAAGAAGATCGATTAGAGAGTGGTGTTTTAGCCCGTCTATTAGGTACTGGCCCGGTCGCTGTAGATAAACTCAATCACGGTCGTCGGGCAGATGTCGTTGCTGTTATCGTGCGTCAATCAATCAGCCCTAAGATATTGGACAGGTAGGTTGGTTGGAGCTCTAGCTGACAGGAAGACTGCGCTGGAGTCGACGTGCAAGGCAACCCGCAGCTGGCGTGGCTTGGGAGGTGGTGTCCACTGTCCACCGACAAGGGGGCCTGCTCCATGAAAGGCGGTGTTGGACGGCGCTAAGATTGCGCCTGGGGAGAGCTCCCCCTCCACGCTGTGGCGTCAGGTCGCAGCTCAATTCCATTGCCCCTCCATCATCAGGCTTCAGCCCACCGCGCAAGATCCTACCCGAAAGCTCATTATCCTCCAGCTTCTACTGGCTTCCACTCGGGCAACTACTAGCTTACGGAGTGAGACACAAAACTGATAGTTTCGATCTGGAAGCGGATTACGTGTACAATCCGCTTTGTCGAGCTCACTGTTCCCAGAGCCTGAACCAAGTCAACCAACAGCGGTCGCTTACAAGGCTGAGGAACCTTATCATAAAACGCATCTCCATTTCGCGTCCCCTCGTCTCTACAAATCCAACCGGTGTCATCCAGCGCCTGCAGGGAGCCATCATAATACTGTCTTTGCATCGATCTGATTGCCATCGAAGCTTTGGAACCCGGTTGGGCCGGCCAGAGGGAGCCCTCTCGCAGTTGCCAGCACGCGGGACTCAGGTTCTGTTTGAGGAGAGTGAACTATCTACTTTGCTCGAGGGACCCAGCGCATCGCACAAGTAAAGTGCAAGATGGCTGCTCATGTCGAGGTTATTTCAACCGATCTGAGGAGAGTCAAGATTAAGGTCACTCCAGGGACCTACATGGTGGATGTACTGGGCGAGGCTTGCAGGAAGTTCAACCTGAACAGTGACAAGTATGAGCTTAAGTACGTTACTACACCCACTTTACTTTCCACTGCCGCAGCTAACATGAACAGATATAAACAAAAGCTCGTTGATTTAGCTGGGCCGTTCCGGACGTCGGGCCTCGGTCCCGGAGCTAAGCTCGAGCTCGTGCAAAAATCGAAAAGCGCTTCGGTCGTGTCCATCGCGCTTGATGTCAACGGCCAGCGGTATACCAAGAAGCTACCGAGCGACATGACGTTGTGGAAAGTGTTGCGCCAGTTCGAAACGGCTGAGGCCGGTCTTAACATTACCGACAGAGGAGTGCCCAAGGGCACCAACAGTGGCCAGCTCTACTACGAGGCCCCTGTTGTGAATATTATGAATAGGGAGTATTCAGCCCTGGAAGATCTTCAAAAATCCCTGTCACAGTGTGGTGTTAGCTCCGGGAGCATCGCCCTCAGAGTCTCGTTCAGGCTTACAGACACAACGCTGTTTGAGGCTATGAAGAAGATTGGTCAATACCTCAACGAAGTCGACCCAGAGCAGCCTAAGGTTGAGGAAAACAAGCCGCCTACGGCACCTCCGGCTTTGGCGGCGATCCGGACAGATGCTACTCCTGCCAAAGAGACACCGAATGCCGAGAACGAAATTGGTACCGCTGAGGAAGCAACGAGGGTCGCGACAATAGAGCCGAGCGCCGGGCCCGAACGCCCCGACCAACCTCCGCCAGAAGCCGCGGTAGATGCCGACCCCCTACAGCCCATTGGTGTCTTCTCAGCACCCTCATCATCAACCCCAGCAGCTGCCCGGATCCATGAGGATGATGAGGTTTACGAGCCGACAATTGCTCATGCGCAGCTGCGCCAACAACACTTGCAACAACGAGCCCAGAACACCCGTTTGAAGTCGGACGCCGAGCTGGCAGCTGAAGCGGCCGAGGAAGCGGCCAGGCTTGCCAAGATCACCAGGGTAGAGGTCAAGGTTCGATTCCCAGACCAGACTTCGGCAGTATGGACAGTTACCCCGGAGGAGACTGGCGCCTTCCTTTACCAAGCCATTCGCAGTCTCATGGCTCACCCCACCCAGCCTTTCAAGCTTATCATACCGGGGCCAAAGACTCTAATCCAGGAGGACGACAAACGTCTAATTGCTGGATACCGCCTCAAAGGCCGCGAAATGTTGCACCTTCTGTGGGACGACTCGGTGCCCCATACGTTACGCAACGGACCGTTCCTCAAGAACAGTGTGGCTAGTAAGGCTCAAGAAGTTGTCATTCCTGAGATTCCGCAAGACACCGCAGACGAGGAAGCCGATGCTGCTGGCCCTTCGAATAGGCCGGTCAAAAAGGAGAAGAGCGGCATGGACCCCGAGGCGGTCAAAAAGAAACTCAGCAACTTTCTTAGGCTTAGCAAGAAATAAATAGGCCGTCAGTAACACAATCTTGTGTTCTTGCACTCAGCAAGCCGGCCACTTGGCTATAGTGGTTGCCGCCTTCTAAGCCAGTTTTCTGAGAGAAGGCTATCATGCTAGCACTGGCCAGAGATTTCTAATCAATGGCAAGTGGCAGCGTCTGCCTGGCGGCAGAGCGCGGCCTACCATCTCGATCTAAACTGTGGCATTCGCCGGTGTGAATAGTTGATGCCATAATGCTATTAGGCAGTCTCATGACAGGATACAACGGTGATAAGATGCAGGCGCATGTAATGAGTTTCAATGCCTAGCCATGGAATATCTTCATTCAGCGTGCTGAACACCTCATCAAGGCGATGAACTGGCATAACTTCATTATAACTATATAGTTTTGATGCACTTAGTGGCCAGCCCTCCGTGACTCGGCGATGACGCGCGTGAGCTCATCGACTTTTGCCTTTGCCCGTCCGAAGGTGCCGAGCTGTCTAGTCGTCAGACGAGGGCACGCAGAGAAAGGATGTCGGACCGCGAGGGAGGAGGCATACCTTTTTCTTGGAGAACTTGCGCGCCCGCTTGTCCTTCCCGTTGCGAAGCAGCTCAATGACTCGGCGCTCGTACGGAGCGAGACTGTCAAGCGGCCCGTTAGCATCAGCGCCTGATGGCTGGTTCCTCAACCTCCCCCTTCATTCTATACCAGTTCAACCGTATTGTATGAGAATGGTTTTGCCATCGGCCATCAGCCATCAACCACCAACCATAGCCATCTTGAGAGCCCCGGCCGAGATGTGGAACTGTCCGGCACTCCGGGCCAGCCGTAGGTCCACTTTGCCGGACATGGGACAGGGCAAGGCCGCTTAACCAAGCCCTCGATCGGTGATGTTCCAGCCAACCCGCATGCATCACAAAGCTCCGTCTTTTCTTCCTCCTTTCCGTTTCCCCTCTTTCCGGCAAAGACAGTATTTGGGCGCCGCGCAAGACTCGAACTTACCCTGCAACCTCCTTGACGATGGACCGCACAAACTGGGTCCGCTTGCTCAGGTGCCCTTTGGTCCGTGCCGGACGCTGCTTGGTGACGCGAGGGGTGGTCTTCTATAGTGCGCGAGCAGATGCAGAGGGACTGGTCAGTCTTTTGAACCATTCTGTAACTATTATCTTGCATTCATCCCTCCAACCACCTCACCACCTTCCACGTTCTCATCTCCGGGAGGGAAGTTGAGGGCAGTGGAATTTTGGTTTGGCACACAAAACGTAGAGCAGAGCAGAGATTCAACAGCGAGAAGAGGCAGGACGTACATGACCCTTGTTGAGGCCCTGAGCAATGCCGGACTTGGGTGTATCCTTGGCCATTGTTTGTTCCTAGTGTTATCAACCAAGCTCTTATCGCCGGGGTAAGTGGATATCGGTTGCTGGTCCTCGTCGCTCATGTGGAGTTTTTCTCTTCAACTTTGTGGAATCGAGGGCTAAATTTTAGGTTGTGGAGGTGGCTGATTTGATGCGGCGAAGTCTTAGTAGATGTGGCTGAGGAGTTACTCCGTACGCGTACTGTACCTACTCAACTGAAGTTCACGTTGTACCGTTCCTTGGAACTTCAACTTCTTCAAAGTACGACCCAATCTGCCTCCATGAACATTTTGTCTTTGAAGTTTGCGGCAGTACGAAGCCAATGGGCGAGCATAAGGTCATCGGCCAAGACCAATATGTACTTCCTACGGTATACCAGTCAGCAGTCGGAACGGTATACGGAGTAGTCTGTTACCAAATGCCGAAGTAGTTTCTATTCAAACTTAACAGTGCTAATCATGACCTGCCATAGGTGCCGATCAGAATCCTTGTCCCGGATACCGCCAGCCATGAAATCATGACCAGCGCTGCCCATGTCGTGGTCAAAGATGAGGGTGCCCTTATCTTGGTGTAGGCTGAAGGCTGGTGAAGTTGGCAGCTATCATTCTTCCCTCCGTTGGGAAGCAACTCTTCCCCTCTCCCCTCTCGCTGCTCGGCTCAGCATCCACGCAGGTTAGCTCGGGGCGGACGGAGCCTGCAGCCTCGAAGGGACGAGATCTTTTTGTTTGTCACGATCAGTCTCATCATTCACATGGGCAACCGGGATCCCCATTGCCCAGGGAACTCACAGGTCGAGCTCCGGACACGCTCGTTCAATCAAGGTAAGCGTGCCATTCTGCCAAATGAACTGCACGATGGCGTTGTTGCAGGCATATCTAGCGACTAGTCCTTCCGGGCCAACATTTACCGAGGTCGAGTTGTAGTGGCACCCAGTCTCGATCTTGGTACTATAGTCCGAGTAGTGGAAGTCGATGACGGTCGTCGTGTGATTGTTTGCCTTGGTAGGTGACCAGATCTGGAACCCCTGAATGACGAAACCTTTGGGAAAGATGCAATCCTTATTATCGAATGATGCCTTGAGCATTGAATTGGGGATAAGGTACATGGGGAACGCCGCCGCGCCAGAAATGGCGGTTGCTACGCCCAAGATAGCTTGCACCATCGCGGGAGTGTCCGCAAGAGGTTGAACAGCAAAAATTGAGGACTTCAAGAGTGTGCTTGAGAGGCAGTGAATCACCGTGCCTGTACGTTGAGGAGGGATGGGAGAAAAAAAAAATAAAATAACTCGCAGTCTAGGATTTCTAAGCTCACTAGAGGTCCTTTCCGAAACATATACATTTGAAGTCAAACGCCTCTAGGTTATTCCAAATCCCTGTGATCTTGTAATACTCCAGCGTTTGTCGAACCAACAGGGATCTTCTAGGACTGTCTGGTCAGACTGCAACTACCCGATTCAACTGAAGGAAAGTCTCACCCGATGGTCCTGCCACGTAGCGAGACGAGCGGGTGCTACTACAACTGAAGCAAGTAAACTGGCTTTCCTGCTCGAAGCGAAGTCACTCTTCACTCCCTTTCAGTCCTTTGTATTACTTTGGTTTCGGGATGTTCCGAGTCCTACTCGGTTCTTCCCACTCGTTCAAGCATGGAAAGCCTGGGGGAAGATATGGCCTTATGGTCCATCACGGGTAATGGCCTGTATCGACAATATGAGTACCTGGTAACTTTGGGTTGATGAATATGTGCCCGGCTTTGCTGCTTGAGAAGGTTGAGAGTACTTACCTCGCCGGCCAAACTCAGAGTGAATTGATATGCCCACCTCTCCCTACCTAGGAGTCCATATCTAAGAAAGATCAGTACTGCTGGGAGACTCTTACAACCGGACTCTTGAAATCACTATAGTGTTAGAACTTTGTAACCATCATGACATGCCTGACGAATTGCAACCTAGGATCATAACGCTAGCCCTAATGGTCTTGAGCACAGCTTTAGAGAGTCTTTACGAAGTCGACTGATGGGCTAGTAACTTAGTAGGTCTAATTGGGTCCAACTCCAATATGATACAGAGGGGTAAACAGTCTGAGAACTTACTCCATATCCTGATTGATAAGGTGTATATCCACCTAGGCACTGACTGCATACCTCTAGATGAAGTTGAAAACCACCTGGGAACTTGAAGTGCTCAGGACTACTAGTTCTCAGTGCTCGTTCCTTTAGCTCGCACTGTATGGGCCGGATATCTGGAGTGTGGCTTTCAACCCAAGCTCGCGCAACGCTAACGTTAGCCAAGCTCGAGCCAAGACAAGAAACCGATCCGCCAAGCTTTCCCAAACTCACGTCACCACTCTCATAGAGCTTGTTCAAGACAACTCCTCATCGCCCTTGACAAACAAATATTTGGGGCAGTACCTTCAACCGGCGAGCGCATTTAGAGACATTCTGGCGGGCTATATTTACTGCAAGATACATACGCTAGCAGTACCAATTCCCAAACGAAAGGGCTGGCGCAATAACGCTTGTGCTCGTGCCCTGTTCGCTTGGTGACTTGAAGGTCACGCGATGCCATTCGGCTAATGGCAGCCATGATCCATCGACTTGAGTTCGGCGAGAAAGCTGAGCTTTCAACCGAGAACTCTTGAATTGCCCCGGCCTCGCTTTCATATTGGCATTATCTGGAATTTACTTACTTACATATCCAAGTTCCCGACATGCGACTTCTCAAACTCCTCTCAATATTTCTCGTTCCCGTCACCAGCTCGCCACCTTCCCTTGAAGTCCCGCAGCAGCAGCACCTCTCCTCCCAGCGCCAAAATCATGAAAGGCTACTCCCCGGCAGCGGGAGCACGAGTGGCGGCGGCGGCGTCTCCCCAACCTTCTTCGCCTCGCTCGAACGGACTGCTCGCCTGGTCGACATCACCTATTGCGTGGGCACGACGGGCATCTCGCCGCCTTTTTCCTGCGCTTCCCGCTGCAAGGATTTCCCGTCCCTCCATCTCATCCGCACATGGAACACGGGCGTACTCCTGAGCGACAGCTGCGGCTACATTGCCGTGGACCATGGCGTCGGCGAGAAGGCGATTATTGTGGCGTTCCGGGGCACTTACAGCATATCGAATACCATTGTCGACCTGTCCACCGTGCCGCAGGAATATGTGCCCTATCCGGCACCCGGAGACGGCAATGGGGATGGTGACGAGGGCGGTGATGGGAGGAGGAGATGTGAAAACTGTACCGTGCACATGGGCTTCATGGCTTCGTGGAGGAATGCGAGAGAGGCGGTGCTCCCCGCTCTCAAGGCCGCGAGAGAGGCGCACCCCGGGTATTCTGTGCATCTGATCGGGCACAGTCTCGGCGGGGCTGTCGCTGCGCTGGCGGCGCTGGAGCTTACCCTTTCGCTGGGGTGGGGAGATGTCATGATCACCACTTTTGGAGAGCCAAGGGTCGGGAATAAGCAGCTGGCCGAGTATATTGACAGGGCCTTTGGGTTGTCAAACGAGGAGGACCAGAGGGATACGGAGGGCTTATCCTACCGCCGGGTTACGCATGCTGGGGATCCGGTACCGCTGCTCCCGCTGACTGAATGGGGATACCGCTCGCATGCCGGGGAGGTGTACATCGAGAAGTCGGACCTACCGCCGGAACCTGAGGACTTGCGTCTCTGTCACGGAGATGACGACCCGGCATGTATTGGGGGCGCCGAGACGGCGGGCTGGCTACGTTGGGTTGTTGGGCTATTGACTGGAAAGGCAACGCCGGACGATGACGAGACGTTGAAGATAAGTCGGAATTGGTTCCCGGCAAGGTTGAAGTTGTGGCAGCTATTGTTTGCTCACCGGGACTACTTCTGGAGATTGGGACTTTGTTTGCCTGGAGGTGATCCGGCGGACTGGGGCAGGGGGAGGTGTGACGGTCAGTCTGAGTTACGAGACCTGTAGTATTCACGACTTTTGTTCAGATGGCATTCAGCGCTGGCGTTTTGGGGTTGTATTCTACAAGAAATTGGCAAGTTTGGTTGGCCTGAGTCCGGCGGATCATATACACATCCAAGCATTATCCTCGATAATACACGCAGAGGACACAAGTCCTGAAGCCTGCTATAAGTACACACGCACCGGACCTCACTCCTCGGGTGAACCGGGGACATCGCCAAGCATGTGTCGGTTCTAATCAAGCAGGCCATGCCATAGTTATCTTGGTGGAGATTCATGAATATCATCATTCTGAAAGTAATAAGACGCAAACTGAACCTCGTCTCATACCTATCCAGTTATTTCCGCACCCGGCGAGCTCGAGATATCAAAGGACTTGTCGGGTCGCGTGACTTTTACACTAGTTATCATCCCAAATTCGGGAACATGCCATCGGTGCCGATTGGCGGGTGCTGGCAAGGTTGGGTTGCCGAAGCGAGAACCGCAGCCGCAGGAAACGAGAGAGTAACACAATTCGTGCTTTCACTGCATTATTGCGACTTGGGCCTTAGAGAGACAGAGGCTGTGTATGCAACCCCGCGTTGAGGCATTCAGTTCCCTCGCATGACAATCGTCATGATACAGCGTCAGGACCAAGGTTAGTGTAGTGTAATGTAGTCGTTTCGGAGCACAGCAGCGCACAGACTAAGCAATGGACTACGTATAAAAGAGGAGGGGAGAAACGTGAGTGGACCAAGCGTTGTGATATTTCTAGCCGCTTCCATCTCCCATCTCCCGTGATGAGTTGTCTGCCTGGCTCCCCACCTTCACTTATTTAGTGCAGTACCCTGGCAACTTCACGCATTCTCATTCATGAACACATGCTACCCCTCGTCAACAAAAAGGGGTGGAAGAGGGAGCGGCCCCGTGAAGCCTTGCCTTATGACTGCCACCAGCTGAAAACATCATGATCTGAGGTTTCCAGAATAGTTACTCAGGACTAATGTTATCCTCTTGCGTAGCAAGTTGAGGTACATAGTATGTACTGTTACATACAGTGCCGCCAAGTTTGGAACAAGGCTGACATACTGCGAAGCGGGCACTGATAAGCAAATGCTGCTAAAGGGTTGCTCTGATTGAGTCCAGAGGCCTTTTTCCTGTCGTCGTGTGACGTGCAGCCCCTCCATGTCAGCCCGCGCCTTGGATAGGCTCAGTCCGCGGACGATGAGGCCTGAGAACCCCAGCGGTTGGTTAGGTATCTTGGTCGAAAAGGATTGGATCTGACACGACGACTCTGAAGCGTGTGAGGGGCCTGACAAGACATGGAGCCCATTAGGTTGGCGGGTCCCAAAGAAGCGTGATGGGCCACGAAGTTGCCCAATGACTCTCTGCTCTCACTAGAGATAATGCGAGTAAAGGCTAGTGTTGTATTTACAGCCCTCAAAAGCTGGAATATGAGGGGCGTTTGATGTAGGACAAACGGCCATTACATTACACCTTGAAGTTGCGGTGCGATTGTGGTGTGGGCAATGGGCATGAAAGCGTGGAGCAAAAGTGTTAGGGTGGAACGCCAATTTTACTGGGAAATAAGCTGGCATCGGAGTCACGTGCTAACGCGCAAAATGTAATACTAATTTCATTGGGAAAACAGGGACCCCGGTTAAGATTTGCACCCGCCGACAGGGTTTGCAGAGGGGAAGCCTTCAATCCTCGCCGCGAGTCCCTTTGCTCAACGCTTGAGCCCACCTCCAAACCTCAAGAACAAAACCATCGCAAGGGAAAAAAGAAGCAACTGGGATATCTCCTCCCGACGACCTGAAGCTTCAACCAATATCTCATTCCTCTTCTTCTTTCTCTTACTAAACCGAGCTCCCGACCAGGATTATTTTACCATCCACCCAAAATGGCGAACGAAGTAAGTTCATGATCGTGAAGCCGCCTTTCTTTCCCTCCCTAAGATAGCACTTCGCGGGCCGGCGATAGCCTCTGCCAAAGTCCTACCCCGATGCATTACTATTACTGCTTCCTGGGACTCAAGCCGCTAACCAGTTCTGCCCTCTATAGCGCGAAAGGTGTGTCACTCCGTCGTCCGGAGCAGCGTCCGCCAAAAGCCGCTCTCAGTTGCTAACCGCGGGGTGAAAAAAAATCACAGCAAGACTTTCCTCGCCCGGCTCTGCGAGCAGGCCGAGCGCTACGATGAGATGGTCACATACATGAAGGAGGTGGCCAAGCTGGGCGGCGAGCTAACCGTTGACGAGCGCAACCTGCTCTCAGTGGCCTACAAGAACGTTGTTGGCACCCGCCGCGCCAGCTGGCGCATCATCTCCTCGATCGAGCAGAAGGAGGAATCCAAGGGCTCCGATAAGCACGTCGCTACCATTCGCGAGTACCGTCACAAGATCGAGAGCGAGCTGGAGAAGGTCTGCCAAGACGTCCTCGATGTCCTGGATGAGTCCCTTATTCCCCATGCCGCCACAGGCGAGTCCAAGGTCTTCTACCACAAGATGTACGTCCTAGCGCTTGCCATTCCTCAGCTGCGCCCAGCCGCCCGCCTCCTCTTTGACCTTCTGTTTCTCACGTGCCTGTGCTCTTTAGGAAGGGTGACTACCACCGTTATCTCGCCGAGTTCGCATCCGGCGAGAAGCGCAAGGTTGCCGCTACTGCTGCCCACGAGGCTTACAAGGTAGGGTTGCTAGTTGGCCCTCGCGCATTGGCTACCAGGCATCACTGACCAGTTCCTCCTTTTTCGCAGAGCGCTACCGATGTCGCCCAGACGGAGCTGACTCCGACGCACCCCATCCGCTTGGGTCTGGCCCTTAACTTTTCCGTCTTCTACTACGAGATCCTCAACTCGCCCGACCGGGCCTGCCACCTCGCCAAGCAGGCATTCGACGACGCAATCGCCGAGCTTGACTCCCTCTCGGAGGAGTCGTACCGCGACAGCACCCTCATCATGCAGCTTCTCCGGGACAATCTCACCCTCTGGACCTCGTCCGACAATGGCGAGCCCGAGGGTGCTGCTGACGCTCCTAAGGAGGATAAGGTCGAGAAGGACACCGATGGCAAGCCCGAGGAGCCCACGCCTGAGCAGCAGCAGTAAGCAGCTTGGGGTGGCTTGTTCGTTTTTCTCTGGTCCATTTCTGGTGCCGCTTTAGAAGCCCAAGAGCTTAAGCGGCAATCGAATACCGTGCTGGACTCTGCGTAGCTTCATTCTGAACTCCAGTTTACTACGACGGGAGACTGGCCATATGCTGTCCGAACTGGGTTTGCCGGTGGACGCAGTCTGCGGCGGCGCATGGGGTCAAGGCAAGGGCCGGAACTGTGCAAGGGAGTTGGTCTGAAGTTGGGGGTTTGGGGGGAGGAGAAGTGAAAAATGCAGGGGCTTGGAACTTTTTCTTATTGCTCTTTATTACAATCTCGTTTTTTTCTCTTTCGCTTCGCTTCCTTCCCTCCGGGCTAGACCCTGTTGTGTCGCCCAAACGTACGGGGGAAGGGCAAAGTCAAATCCAAAGTCGATCTTCCTTACACGGTCGAGTCGAGGCAAATACACATCTAAGCCAAACCATGGCCTGACCCGTTTTCACCACCCGTGTGTGTAGTAGATATCTGCCTTTCGATCATCTCTTTCTCCTTCCTAACCCCTTACGAATGGCTTACCTATGGTTTAACTTTTAAGGCCGGGTCTCTCATTCTCTCTATACTTGCCCCTCAGCCCGAGGGTGAGTGAGTGTGTTAACTCGGAGTGTCGTCACCCCTATATCTCGGGATTTTGGTTTCGTGTTCCTTCCCCTGGACTAGCCCCAGGGAGGATTTCATGAGAATGGGAAAGGGAAAGGGAGGCAAGGAAAGATTCCGTCACAAGATATCCCCCGGTTGTGTTTGTCAAGTGCTTTTAACCCCGTCACTTTCCGTACTGCTTAACAATATGAAGAAACATAACCCAAGGCGTTGTGCAATATGGTACTCCTTTTCATTCTCTCGGTGGCTTGTTGAACAGACAAAGCAATCATCAGCCTTCATGATCCTCTTAACAAACGCAGGTTGGCCCCCCAACTACCGGTAGTTATATGGCATTGGCACGCTCTCCGTATTGGCAGGACTGGAATGTGCGAGGTTGCTGAATGGGAACATGTCTAGACACCCCTGATTGAGACTCGATCAACAGTTTTTGAAGCATGTCAGCAACTTGTATTAGGTACTATATTTAATAATCGTGATGGGTCTCGCCTTGGTTCCACCAACAATGTCCATTCCCATTTGACGCTCTGTCCCTAACCTTCTTCCACGTCCTATCCTAGAGCGTGTATGTGGCCTTTTCCCGACGGTACTTTGATCACAGGCAGCTTGGTTCGCTGTCCCAGTCGAACCTGGACTATAAGACCAACAGGCTAACCGGTGACTCCGCATCGCGTTTTGCACCTGTGGAAGGCTGGGGAGGTTGAGGGGCTATCCAAAAGCCCGCTACCAATGCCCAGCCGTAAACTCATCCAAACGTTTCAGCAAGCAAATCACCTCCTGAGCTTCAAAACAACAGGCAACTTTCCAAGGTAAGCCGGCTGTGAAGGCATAGCTCCGGTCCTGATTAGCGAGGCGAATTTTTCGCCTGGGCGCCGGCCCGGCCGGTGTTGCCATGATAACGGCTAAAGGCCTAAAGCCTTGTCTTCGACGGTGACGGTGTGCTGGCCAAACTTCGAAATGGCCACTTCTCGTGCCAGAACTAGCTAGGGCGCGGCAACCGCCGGAGATTCGCAATCTGCAGCTGAAGGTTCCATTCTGTGGGCTAGATTCTGGCGAACTCTTTTGCCCTTACTCACCGGATATCCTTCCGGGAACACTCAAGCGGTCCATTGCATCCCTGTGATGGAAATACTGTTGTTTTGGCCCGAGATGGCGAAGAGCAGGCAGTAACTTTGCCAGTGGGTGCCTTCCGCTGATTGAATGGACATCTCAACCACACCTCTCCAAGTCATTTGGCCAAGTGCGGTTTGCTAGTCCGCTGGAGCAAAGCGGCCGCCCGTTTGAGGCGGCTCATGCTTCTCGATAGACCCTCGGTCGCCCGTGGCATATCCGAGTCGCTGAGGCCGGTGGATTCGGACGAGGGCGTGGCAATCCGAGGGCGGTTGAATAACGGGAAAATGTCCATGCTGCGTGACTTTTCAACTGTTGGGCTGGGCGGCTTTACCAAGGCCCGTCTTTGAACTGTCGCCCATTCTGGCTGATAGTCCTTGGGCCAAGTCTGATTCCCAACCTCGGCGGATGGTCCACGTCCGTGCCTACTCTGGCGAGCCTTCAAGCGCTCAAGTAGGCTGCTCATCTTCCTAGTGAAGCTACGACCTCGCGGTAGCCTCAATCTCTCGCCCACCGAGCTTGCAGGATTGCCACCGGGAGGCGGCGCCGGCCTGCAGCAATGCTCGCATATGTCTTGCTCGAGATCGGCCGCGGGCTTATCGCCGTGGCTCTTCACCTGCAAAATTGCCTTGACATTGCCTGCGAGCCCGCTTGACCTCTTTTTCGAGACGGTGTCCCCGTCAACGGGTTCCGAGCAGGCGCAGTACGTTGTTTCGCCATGCGCGCTGACTGCCTCGCTCCAGGCGCAGATCCAGTCGGCCTTTCTGCCCTGATTCCTCCTTGGTAGAAGTTGATATCGAGTCGCCAGCCAGTCGACAGGCGGGGCATCCTGTTCCCTGTCTGTCGTCGGCGTTTGCTCCCTTTGGGGTGGTCGCTGTGGAGACTCAGTCCGCGGCGTATCCTGTTCAACCGCCCGTATTGAGTCTTCGACTCCTGGCTTTGACAGTGGCTCGTCATGAAAGTTGGTATAACCCGAGCACGATGTCTGAGCTATAAACTGGGCCAACGCTAAGGGCAGCCCTGGCCGGTCGGGCGCAGGCCTGCTCAGGAGCACGGCGGAGGAATCCATGTTCTCAGGCCCAGAAAGTACCAAATGAATCCGAGCGACTGCGAGATGCCACTCGCCGACCGGGAGTTGACACTCTTTAGGGAGGATCAACCCGCGCAATGGTTCCTCTGTGAGAGTCCGGGCGACAAAGTGTGTGTTTATGGACGGAGGTGCCCTTCTGCTTAGAAGACAGACGCAAAGAAGTAAACGGGGACGGTCCGATAGAGGCTGGGTCCCACGAGCATGGACACCTTCCGCTATAAAAAATGCACACGAGATCCGATGCAAACCTAGTGTACAGATTCAGTGGCGGCGGATTTCGTTCGTCTCATGTCCGCCGACAAACTTGTGTTTCGGTTACCCAGCCAAGGCCAGTTGTGCAAGTACCGTACCAGCCATGCCCTCAGAGTCAGGATCGAGTCTCTGAGAAAGCTCACTTGAATTGTATGGTCAAGGAAAGGTATGTATAGCTAGTGCAGCACCATTCGCGAGGAGCTTGGTGACTAGTGAATCCTTTCGTTCGCGTGTTCGGTGCAGATAGGGAACAGGCAGGGGAAAGAGTCCTAAGACAGCCGAAAACGGAAACTCCAATTTCTCGGCGGACCGGGGGTGAAATGCCCGTTCGTTTGGTAAGGTGGCCCGCTCCTTTCTCGGCTTGTTCCGGAGTCACTGATCACAAACGACTCTCGTGCCTGACTCGTAATTGATCAACGTAACTCCATACGCCTAGCTTATAATGCAGTTGAATCAATTGCTGGATGGGCAGCATGGAAGAGGAGGTGCACTTGGTATGGACATATCCGTACAATACAGTAGAAATCTATTTAGGGTTTGGCGGTAGAACATGGCAGCAACTCTTTTGTCGCCGCCTCCCGCCTGTCTCACTGCCCAGCGCAGGGTCCTCTCAACACAAAACGGTTGGGCTTGCCGCACGGGCAATGTATGTATAATGACGTAATTTTATTTGATTGCCGCGGAAGGCTGCCCCATACTCCGTATCCATACATTAACCTCAAATAACGTTTGATCGAGGTATGGATACTGATATTAGCAATGCCAAACTACGCTATGTAAAATCAGGGTGCGAAAGTATTTGTGGGCTCACCCCACTTAGCCAAATCGCGTCCCTCGCGTCCACTGCGTCGCCATACAACCTACCACTTACAACAACTATAGCTTAGTCAATTCCTAGCTAAAATGTGCGAATTTAGTACAATTCTATCGCTAAATGTCTGCTCT